ACAATATTATGTCATTAAAATATGAAGGAAATCGGAAAACTCTAAGGTGGTTTTTCCGGGTTTTTTCGATTTTTCACCGGAAGTTTCTTGTAACCACTCTACAAATCGCAAAAGTGGTCCGATCGATTTCATTTTTCGTGAAAAAGAACTCTATCAGGGAGAGACGAAGCCTATTGAAATTGAGCAGGGTCGGAAAATTCCAAGTGGGTTTTTCAAGGAGATTTTCCGAAACACACGGTTCGCTTCAAAACGATATATCTCCTGAACAAATAGACTAAATCCAAATTTGAAAAATGCACCGTATGCCTCTTTGATGACGCAACAAATTATAATTCAATCATTTTTTAGTGCAACAATCGGAAAATGGAAAAACAAATGAAAATCAAAACATCAAAATTTGAAATCCTTTCAATTCAATATATATCGAAAACAAATGAAAAAATCGAAAATTATCAAGAGTGCAAAGTTATCCACTGGGACATTTTCTACAAATTTATTTCCATAATTTTTTCTGTAAACCCAATAGTACAGGAAATGAAGTGAAAAATATGAAAAAAAAATTTTAACGACCCATAGGGTACTATGAAGATATATTGAAAAACATAGATTATCGATAGATGAAGCTCATCGACTTCCACTGAACCATGAAATATTTTTTCATTTTGTTGATTGGAAGATGGAACAAAAGCGTTGAAAATTTTATTCTCAGATAATTCCAAATATTTCGAAAACAACTGAAAATATCTGAGAATGTTATAGAACCAAAATTATTCCTTTTGATAGAATCTACAAAAAATCCCTATAACATTTTTCTCTGAATTCAATAGTTCGGGAGATACGATGAAAAAACTAAAAAATTCACAAGTTCCTAAACAATCACTTGCCAATAGAAAACAAAACAAAAAACAAAAGGAAGTAAAAAAAAAGCACAATCGAGTGTCTTGATTTTTTTCTCATAAACTACGTACCTAGCTCACTCGACTGTGTGGAAAAACCAAGTCGAGTGGGCTAAGTACGAAGTTTGTGGAAAAAATCTCCAGTTCTCCGAACTTTCATAGCGTCGTATACACATCCTTGGTGCCCAATAATAGTTTCAATATAAAAATATACTCATGATAATATGGTGCCATGGCATCTTCTTCCATCTTACATGGGCAATAATGAAATATAATCTGCTTTTATAGCGTCGTATAAATTATCTGACCTTTATACTAATCTGATACCTTTTAAAAACCACGCACCCACTTGTTTCAGTACTACTGCAGATAAGGCACATTTTTCTGATATCAAATGTTTGTGATTCAAACCGAGGTCCAGAATAATTTGAGGGTCCGGCCTCACTGTCATTTCGCAAAATACTATTAATATTTTGAAAGCTTGAGTGCGATTTTTGGCAGTCTGAGTGAAACTTTATTTTTAGGTCACTATTGAAAAATCTTTTTTTTTGCGACAGAATTTCTTTCGACCGATTGTCTTGTCTCCTCTCAGCACTAGCTATTAGTGACAACAATCCTTGTATTCTAGGTCTTTGTACCACAGATTTGTCATCATCCCGCACAATATTTCCACAAATAATACATTCCATTTTCTCAGAGAACTTCTTATAAATATCGGCGCATGTAGATGTTACGCTGAATGCCGTTTACATCAAACCATAACTAATCCACCCTCGTCTTCCGGTGGCGCGTGCCGATATTGAGCGAGCAATAAAAAAACCATTGTTGCTAAACTATACAAAATGGGGGAAAAATAATCAGCTCAAAAACTTCTATCATATATGGGCTTCATTTGTTTCGCTATATGTATACAAAAATTTCCAAAAATAAAGAAGTTTATCGATTGGTGCAAATTGTAATGCAGAAATTCTGAATTCCATGCTCTCTTGATTTTTGAAAAATGAAAGAAGAAAATTTTGTAAAATCCATCGGTACTGTTAGAAGCGCTATTGTGTTTAGTTCAACCTAGAGAAAAAAACACTTCGATATCTTCATTGATTTCAAAGATATGACGGTGGAAACAAAAAAAGACACATTTTATTTAAAGTGCATTTTTTTCAGTTTTTTCTCAGTTAAAAAGTTCCAGACCACAGAAAAATGTCGTAAAATACGATTTCATATACCTAGTGATATGGTCAACAAAACCTACCATGTCTGACCTGGTTCTACGTCAGAAAAAAAAAACGACACGATAGGGTCTCGAATTTACTACACTAACTGCTGAATTTGAATCTGTCAGAATCGACACAGTAGTGGATCATTCAGATGGGATCGGCAATGCATGATAATTCCTATGTTTTTGCTATTTGCGATTGCGAATTACCTCAACATCACAATTTCCAGAATCAATGAAATAGTATAATCGAAGGAATAGGTACCTGTTCATATGAATTGAATCATTTCTAAACAGATTGAGAAACTCATAGAAATTTCAATAAACGTGATTGAATTCATTGCGCACGCCCATGGCAACGGTATCTGTCTGTGACTAGCAGCTGATATTGGTATCCCAGATGACGTCACATAATATGCGCGTAGGCACACCATCATCTCCTTCCACTATGGTTTTTGGTGAGAAATTTGACTCGAGCGAGCGGCAGCTATGTTATCCTTTGGATCCTTTGGTGTAAAATCGAATTTGTATTGACAAATCTAACCTCATGAAAGTTTTGTTTAAAACTACTTGGTACGAACCGTGTAACTAGCGTCCTCTATGAGAGTTAGATATTAAAATCAATTCATGCGATGTGTCAGCTACCAAAACACATCCATAGAAAATGTAATTACAATGTTGCTTGTAGTTTCGACAATATCGTAAAAACTGTGCAAAAAAACATTTTTTCAACACCTTGAAAACGGATACCGTTACGACATTCTCATATTGAGCAAATCCAACTTATTTTGCAGTGTTCTACCTAACCTAGCAAGTGGGTCAGATTTTTTGAAACACCTTGTATATCGAAAGACACCGTATCTGTCATACCTATTTCTCCACAACCAATACGAGCATAACCACATAATTATCAAGAATTCACTTTCATTATAATAAGGGTGTTGATATCTACACAATACAAAATTGATTAAATATCAAATTTTCACTTATCTTTGGATATTTCGAGAACGAATCTGCTCCCGTTTTCATCATTAAAATGGAAATTATTCTTCTCACAAATTGTCGTCAGGTATCAGTTTCGACACTTATCATTTGTCACTGAGCACTACAGTTATGTATGGAAATAATACTCATATTTATATTTCAGAGAAACAAGGAGGAGAGAAAATCCTGAAAATCTGCAATAATGGATATACAGGGTGTTTCATTCGAAAATCAGAGTCATTACCAATTCTGATGGAATCGGAAGTAGAAAATAACACAAATTTATGTCAAAACTTGACAATTATCAATAAGTTGATGGATCATTCCAAATTTCAATAACTTATCTCTAAAACTCAAAGAACAAAGAGAGATTATTGTACATATACAGATCCGACCTGTCCTGGAATACTGTTCCCATATTTGGAGTGCAGCACCCAAACATACCCTGAAACTGTTGGATTCTGTCCAAAAAAGGGCAATTCGTCTCGTGGGTGATGCCTCGCTCACTAACTCACTCACTTCTCTGGAACACCGCAGAAAAGTTGGCGATCTGGGTCTATTTGATAGATATTTTCATGGACGATACTCTCCTCAAATATCAACAATTGTTCCTCCTTTGGCAGTCCCCGCGAGATTAAACCGACGAGTTGAGGCTTCGCACCCCTTCGTGGTCACTGTGAAGACTTGCAGAACATCTCTTTCCAAAGACTCGTTCATCCAACGAACAGCGAGGCTCTGGAACACATTGCCAATGGAGGTGTTCCCCGACGAGGCATATAACCTCCAGAAATTTAAGAAGAACACTATAATTCCTACCTCATTTCCCTTGGTTTTCACGATGTTCTCTGAACATTACAGGATATTCCTTTTCGTGGGAACCAGAACATGAAAAAACATGGTACTGTTACACCGGGTATAGTGGCATTGGACTAGTCACGGTTGGTGAGGTTACTGAAATGAGTATATGTAGTATACATCGTTTGTACTGAATATGAGCGTTCACTTTCGGTCGAGCAATGAATCATAGGCCAAAAGTTTCGCGTGATATCTGTTGAGCGCTATTTTGAATCGATCGCCATTTTGTTTCAATAGCCATTTTGATTAAAATTCGTAGGTTATGTCGAATCGGGTGGTTACGTGTCATACGGCGTCTGTCAAACATCATACGTATCGTTAATATTCGTAGGTTAGGTCGACCCTTAGTGTCTGCTTTCGACGAGCGCGTCTCGTGGTATGTCATCTGTCGAATATCATACGTATCATCATTTCAGCGTCATTTTGAACTGGTAGCCATTTTGACGGCCTCTGCTTTTGACGAGCGCGTCACGTAATATCCATCAAACGTAAATTGAGCGTTCAGTTTCAGCACCAGAAGGTCACATGTCATCTATCATATGCTATCTACCCTCTGTCATACGTTGGCTGTAATCTACTATAACTATAAATGTGATATATTATTCATGAGACACCCTGTATATTTTCATTCAACGATCCTCCTTTTATATTCCATCTTGTTATTGTTGTTGTGTTATCACTATTCTTATCAGCAGCCTGCTGATATCGTCGGAGCCGGATGACCTTGAAAGAGTAAAAAATGACCAGAATGAACCTCAAAATTTGCTGAAAAAGTCCGTAGATCTAGGGAAAAATCTGGTCTGCTTTACATGGGCTCTTATGGGGATTTCCGCTGCGCATCGCGGAATTTCCGTAGAATCTGGGGAAAAGGGACTTGGAATTTTGAAAATTGCGGGGGTTCTCTCATAGCTGAGTTACTTATGTTGTCACGTTCGCCGTTTCGTTCTTTCAATAATCCCAAGTAAATCGCGGGTTGTCTGGCAATCTTGACTGTGACTTATTCATTTCTTTCTCGATTTTTCATATCTAAAATTGCATTCTTTTTGTTCCAGGCGGAAATATGGAGCGTGTTCATCGCCATTCTGAGGAAGAGCGTGCGCAATTTGCAGGCGTGCACAGATGTCGGCCTCATAGAACACGTTCTCAAGAGATTGCGGAATGCCGACGTGGTGGTTGCAGGTGAGTTGTAATATACCAATGGAATGGGGGAATAGAAAATCCCCCCTCAAATTGAATGCAATCTTCCATAGTGTCGTCCAGAACAACGACATCAGCGCAGCCATACTTTTTGGATTGACAGACGTGGGGGCAATTTCAAAAAGTAATTGGTTTTCGACTCTGTATCATTTCTGGAGAAATACATGACACAGATGACAGAGTCGATGAAATTGAAAAATAATTCTTTCACGTGACTGCATTACAATAAAGAAAAAGGGACTGTGTATAATGCTCGGTATAATGAACTTCATGTTGCCTTGTATATTCTTCCTGAAATGAGCTCATTATGATTTGATAACTACTATGATTTGAAAGGAAAAAGGCATGATTCCAGTAACTTCTAACTTATTTATTCAATACCTATATTTTCACAATAACCTGGAATCTGTGAGGTCCGATAACAACATATTTACATTTATCAAAGCAATTTCACTAATCAACACTAGGTACCACTATCGGGAATCCACATGATTGTCACTTCATAAGTTTATTAAATCAAATAAAGGATTGAAATAGTATACACCGTGTCCCAGCTAAAATGTCCCCCCTGTGAAAAATCATCCGCGCTATCGAATGACTTGAAATCTGGTCACCCAGTATATTTGATGATGCTCACTCGAATTATGCTATTGAATAAATCGTAGGTATACAGGGTCACACCGAAGTGCACCTCAACTTTCTTATTTGAATAGGGACACCCAGTATATTATTCCATATTCAAGTAGAGTTCATTATTACAAATTCAACAATGCCGGGTTTGATAGGATTTTTTCAAACGACTACGAAGAGATGGCAAAAAATCAAACGATTCAATTAATAATGTATATGAATAGAATTTATAAATATAACACGATTCAAATCGAATAAAAAGAAAATAATTTAAACCTCAACTGCTCAATATGTCGTCCATTCTGCTGCAAACATTTCCTAGCTCTTTTGATAACGTTCAATGTGACCCTATGTATCACGTTGCGATCAATTTGTGTGCATAAATTTGTGATTTTCTCTTTAATTTCTTCCATATCCACAATTGACTCATAACACTGTTCATTTCAAGTAGCCCCACAAATTAAAATCAAGTGGGTGAGGTCTGGCGACCAAGCTGGCCAGTATTGCTATCACCATCGAGACAATTGGTGATTATTAGATTTTAATTATTTTTTTTCATTCGATTTCAATCGTTTTATATTGATGAAATATAATCATATAAATTTTTCATTGAATCGTTTAATTTTTTGCCATATCTTCGTAGTCGTTTGAAAAAATACCATCTAACCCGGCATTGTTGAATTTGTAATAATAAACTCTACTTGAATATGGAATAATATACTGGGTGTCCCTATTCAAATATAAAGTTGAGGTGCACTTCGGTGTGACCCTGTATACCTATGATTTATTCAATAGCATAATTCGAGTGAGCTTCATCAAATATACTGGGTGACCATATTTCAAGTCATTCGAATTCTAATAACGAAAACCAATGTATATACAATGATGCTAAATACGGCTAAGTGTTTGGTAAATATGATAATTCAGTATTTTAATCAAATTATTAGCTAAATATAATAATTCAGTATTTTAGCATTTTAATCATCCATACATTGTATAGATCAAACAAAGATCACGTTAGCGTGCGGGAATATTGCCACACTAATCGTTTTCAATTTGGCATTGCTATGGTGAATATCAGCGTGTTAAATTCCAACTAAAAAAAACGCGTGTTTTTTAATGAAGTTACCACAGCAACATACGGCAATAACAACAATAAATGTGGAGTCTGAATAGCAAATGGTTTAATCATCGATCTGACAGGCATGTAACGTCAAATTGATATCCACTTATACTTACTTCAATTCATACTATTATGTGGGACTATCATCCTTGAGTTTCATGCATTCGTGTCATGTGTCATAAATACACGTTGTGGTCATACTAGGCTTCTCCATTTACCCGATGCTCTATTTTTTATACATTGAACAACTTCAGACCTCTGCAGACAGGTTATGCACTTTCCACTTTGAAGAAGATTTGTACTAGCTGCATACACGTGACTGATGACATTTGTATTTTGTGTAAAATTTATATCTATATTATATGAATATTGAAAAAAATGCAGAATAACATAATAAAGTTACATTAGGTTAAACAGAACATATTAATAATTAATTATTAATAAGCTTGCATGGTGCCAAAATTCAGTTTGGACGGAGACTGAGAAAGCCCCAAAATTTCAGAATGATTTCAATTATTGAGTAATCTCAATTGAAGTCTTGAAAACACCTAATAAAAATATGAAACTCAGAAAAACCGGTGGTGTACAACAACATTAACCATGAATATAGATGAATTTACCCACTGAGACGCCACTGGAAATGTTATTTCGTAATGTAATGGCACTAGAAGAAGCTCCATATCACTATTAACAAAACCACAACGTTTTATTGAAATTGGTGAAAAGACAATTGATAAATGAATATAGAAAAAAGGTTTTTCATGGCAATATTTATTCCCTGTATCTCGAAAACGAAGCAGGTTAGGACACATGTTTATATGAAGTTTGTTTACATGAACTTTATTTTCTAAAATATCACAAGCAATCACCCAAATTTTTTCGGTGTTATTTAGATACACCCTATCTAAACATAATTCTTCAGTGTTCACATAATGAATAACAAGGAAAATGAATAGATATATGTTAGGATAAAAAAGGAGAATCAAATGATAATAGGCAAGTACAGGGTGATTGACTATGGATTTCTCGACTTCAACAGCTGATATCTCGAAAACGAAAAAAGATATTTGAAATATGGAAAAAGGTACTTGAATGAGATGTCATTTCCTTCTAGAAAATGTGTTCTCTGCTTAATTTTATCATTTCATATACAGGGTTCGTGAAAAAAAATTTTTTTTTTAAATGGAACCCCCTGTATATTATCGCATATTTCGGAAGAGCTATCTTTCCTGATTTCGAAGATATATACTTTTCATATATTCTATCGAGTGCTTGACGAAATATCAGCAAAATAAAATATTAATATTTGGTCCAAGTTAGCTATGGTTGAAATAGAATGTGATGAATAAGTGAATTGACATTTGGCCAACATTCCAGTGACATAAGTGCGCAAAATTTCGACAATCTGCTCACGATGCCATATCCACTGGAACAAAGAAGAGATATTTTGGAGTGCTATTTTTCAGTTAATAAAAATCTTGCTGAAACACTTACACTTATACTTACTTAAATTTAATCTTTCAGATATGACAAGACAAAATTCAATCCGCTTCTCATTATCATCATGATTGAGTTTGTGACATGGTCTAATTCTGAAATCCCTATACAAAATAATAGCTGAAACCAAACTCTCTCACTGCATTTCTTATTGACCGTGAAGGATCCTCAACAAAATACTGGATTACAAGAAGTTCCTCGTCTTCGTTGTCTTGCCTTCTCACTATTCTCTTGATATTCGACAAACTGGAAGTTCTGTCAAATTTAGCAGCCAAATACTTTACATAATTCTTACTTGGTAATCTCCTGCCTGGATAACTCCTCATAAACTTATGAAGTGTTTCAGGAAGATTTTTATTAACTGAAAAATAGCACTCCAAAATATTTCTTCTTTGTTCCAGTGGATATGGCATCGTGAAAAAATTGTCGAAATTTTGCGCACTTATGTCACTGAAATGTTGACCAAATGTCAATTCACTTATTCATCATCTCATTCTATTTCAACCATAGCTAACTTGGACCAAATATTAATATTTGAATTTGCTGATATTTTGTCAAGCACTCGATAGAATATATGAAAAGTATATATTTTCAAAATAAGGAAAGATAGCTCTTTCGAAATATGCGATAATATACAGGGGGTTCCATTTGAAAAAAAAATATTTTTTCACCTACCCTGTATATGAAATGATGAAATCAAGCAGAGAACACATTTTCCAGAAGGAAATGACATCTCATTCAAGTAACTTTTTCCAAATTTCAAATATTTTTTTTCGTTTTCGAGATATCAGCTGTTGAAGTCGAGAAATCCATAGTCAATCACCCCGTAACTAGAAACATGAAGTAACAATACAAACATGTGTTTTCTTGCTTCAATGCAAACCTTTATGTATGATACTCTTCACAAGCTCTATACATTAGTATCATTTAGTAAATCTTGTTTGAGTTGAGACAAAATTGTTACCTGAAAAATTTCTTGAACAAATATTCATATTGGGAAAAGGAGATATTATATTACATTATTCTCGTGTAGAACTTGGACTAATTCCATAATGGGAGTTTCTGGTTTAGTCTCTAGGAGAGAAAACTGTTTTTTTCAGAAGAATAACATTCGTCAGAAACAAATTTGTCCAGATCCTCTACATACTTTTTTTTTGTAGTTTAGTTGCCAATTTGATCAAATTTACATCCTCTGCTGACACTATCTTGAACAGAAAGTCAAATGATCCTGAACAAGATCTGTAGGTGGAAGTCCCACGAAAAATTTCAAATCTGCAACTTGAAATGAAACACTGTGTCCGCCATTTTTCTCTCTAGTTTGAACTTTTTGCCGTATTTTTTGTTTCCTAATTGTGCTTTCCTTGTGATGATTCACTTCTTAACATAAATTTCAGTTTATGTAGTATAGTGATCAAATCTTTCGTGTAAAAAATCAAAAAATCCAGATAATGACTAATGACAAAAGATGTGCAGTTGTATTTTCATAAAGCCGCCCTGAAGATTTTGCCGCCTGGTGCTATTCGCGAGATTCATGAAGTGGGCGACATCTAGGTTACATAATACGAACTTCAAACTGGGGGAAAACAAACTGTTGTCTATGAATAAAGTGCATAGACTAGACTACATTGCATTCAGCTTGCTGTAGCTGTAGTCAAACTTGTCGATGACATAAAGTGTTGGCACTGTTGGTAGTGATGATGGTTCAGTTGGTTAATTTTTTACATTATTACGTTTTTATTAGTTTAGTGAACATTGAACGGGTGAAGAATTGGAGATAGTTCAAACAATTCAAACTAATTATGACGAGCAAATCAATTGACATATAAAAGAACAGCTACAACATGTTTACAATACCCAGGTTGCTTTGCAGGAACAAATATAAATCCATTGTTCTACAGGAGTTCCTCTGGACCCAAACTTCAATTTTACTCAATGTGGGGAAGATTTCATCGCCGAAGTTTGTAGACAAAGTGCAAAAATGTGCCTTTTGTTGAAGTCTTCTGCCTTACACAAAATCACATGATCAGCACGGAGAACTGCTTCTCCTTCCACTTATGGTCGGGACATCTACAACAGGCGTTTTCGATCGAATATTGACAATTAATGTCAAGAAATTTAAAAACTTATCACTCTTATCAGTACACAGTACACAAGCTAATGGCACTAATGGGATTGAGTGAGGATTGAGTTTGTTCTCCCCCAGTTTTGACGTGGCTTTGACATGGAACAATGAAAACCGAGCGTCACCAGGTAACATTGATTCCCGCGAGTAGCACCAAAAAGATCCCTGGTAAAACCGGCACTGAATACAGGGCTGACTTCTTGACTGATCTTGTATACTCAATTTTTATTCAGTGTGATAGATTTTGAAAAACCCTAAAACTTTTGTATTTCAACATTTTTCGTTAGCTATCTTACTTTAAGAGATAATCGACCGTTTCCATACTTATCAGCGACCCTGTATTTTCCATCTTGTTGCAGATTTGCTGATCGAAATGCTGGGCGTCTTGGCGAGTTACAGCATCACGGTGAAAGAGCTGAAACTATTATTCGGCGCCATGAAAGCCGTTACCGGAAAGTGGGTGAGTGCAATCCCGGTTATCTCGACGGACTTTTTGTGTGCAAGCTTGTTTGCGTGAAGGGGTTTGCGCGTTCCGCATGTTTATTATGTTAGTCGGTCGAGGCGAGAGAAATTCTTTCTGATTGCTGATTGATTATTGATTTGATTAGATAAGTAAATCGTGGACTATAGAGAGTCTAGCAGCGCATTGATGTCTACACTGAGAGAAATAGTCGGTAGTAAATACAAAACGATTAGTGAAATAGGCGACAGTCACTACACTCATCAACTATTCATCACTTCAAAATATATACACTGAAAAAAAAAGGATTGTTGAATCAAGCAAAATTCAATTGAACGAAGCAAATAAAAGTGTCATATATGCACGACAAAATATAATCTTGAAATGAGAAAATCTATATTTTGTTTCAGAGCGAATTTGAAGTTTCAATTAAGTAAATATGTCTTGCATGAACTCTGGACTTTATGCAAACTAGCAGATCCATGAATTATTTATGAAGAGATATTGAATTGGCTCAAACAATAATTTTGTTCGATTCAAAATAAGAAGATATTGATACAATCAAATATTTAGTTGATTCAATGAAATATTTGGTTGATTTAATGAAATATTTGGTTGATTCAATGAATTATTTGGATAATTCAATGAAATATTTTGTTGATTCGATGAAATATTTCGTTGATTCAAGAGAAACTGTATTTCCATTCGACAAATTGTTTTGTGGAACCATATTCAGTTATAATTCGGGATTTTTCTGAAATTTCACATAAATAGATTGAACTTAACTAGGAGACTAGTCGACTTCTAACATAGATCTCCAGGCTTTCCTTCTCTTCAGCTGATGCAAAACTATTTCGGATTGTTAATCATCTTGAGATCGATTTATCCAGCTGATATTTCAAACACGAAGAATCAGACTTCACATATATAATGAATTCGCGGCAGGCATAGACAAGGCGAAATGATAATGATCGCCATCTAGAGGCGAAAATTCAACTTGATGTAGAATGAACAGAATATTTCATTGATATTACATATTTCGTTGCTCTATTCAAGCAAATGATTCGAAACGAGTCGATTGCTACATGGGAATAAGAAAAATTGTATGTTGTTCCAAAGATATAGTCTCATCAAAATGATCATTATTTCATCAAATTAACGAAATGTTTATAGTTGAATCAACATCGACATTATCTTAGATCGATATAATTTGTTTTCGAGAAAACCATATATTTTCTTGGTGGAATTGACATAATATTGTTGATTCAATTAGACTACATTCTTGATTTGAACAAGCTGCTTCCATGAAATAATCATGTAACTGGTTGATTCAACAAAAAATGGCTCTGTCCAGCAAAAATAATTCAAGCATAAATAATTTGTTGATGCAACAAATCCTTTTTTTCCGTGTAGTATGATACTATATGTAATATTTGATGAATGTAGTGACTGGCGCCTATTTCACTATACATTTGGTATTAACTACCGACTATTTCTCTGGGTGTATGCAGTGGCCAGAGTGGCCTATCCACAGGGGATCAAAGGACGCAAGGAATGAATCGCGAGAGATAGAGAGAGAGTGAAAGAAGAGGAAGAGAGAGAGAGAGAGCACTGGGACATTTCCCCGTTTAGTTTTTTTTTTTTAAATTCCAATTTTCATAACACGATACACAGTATTTAATACCTACTATAGCAGATAGGTATACCGGCGAGTGCGGAATTTAGCGCCTTCTATATCATATATGAAACAATTCTAATCCTTTCACCATGCAGTATCAATTTTGTATAATTAGATTTAGATAATAGGTATTTATACGCCAAGGTAGTGAAGAATATCATAATTACCCATCAGGGACCAAGATTATTTCCCGAGAATATTCTGTACTACCAAGGTGTATATTAATTTTTTTCACCAGTAGCAATACATTGCAATCAATGTAGTTCTGTGAAACTGAAAAACGGATCTATTGTCACTATGAAACGAGCTATGGAAGCACTTCTTTTCAAATCTTATTATAATCTAGTAGCCTTGACCATGACAGCAAAATATGACAAGTTGTTATTAATGAATACCTACTAGAATCTAGATTCGAGTGCCACTTCTGCGAATCACGCATCAGAACAGTGAATTCGTGTTAATCACAACAGAAGTGGCTGTCTTTATTGACTATATAATTCGTGAATTTGGAACATCGAATATGCTCAGTAGAGGGCACTTCCTCAATTTCAGGAAATTTCTTTCATCTTCCGGTTTTCCTGTAAATGACATCAACTTTCGATTTTTAAATGGAACACCCTGTATTTTATTCTATAATCGGTTAGAAATTATTATAACGAATTGAACAATACCGGGTTTGATCGGGCTATTTCAAACGATTACCAAGATATTCGCGTTTCCATAAGCTCAATGAGTGTGACAGAGAAAGAAGTTTCGAAATTTCGCCGTTACACCCATTGAGCTCATGGAAACTTCGAACGTGAATACATTCGTAATCGTTTGAAATAACCCCATCAAACCTGGTATTGTTGAACTCGTTTTAATAATCTCTAACTGATTATGGAATCAAATACAGGGTGTTCCATTTGAAAATCGAAAGTTGATGTCATTTCCAGGAAAACCAGACGATGAAAAAAATTTCCTAACATGTAAGAAAGTGCCCTCTATTGAGTATTTTCGATGTTTCAAATTTCAGAAATATAGTTAGTAAACCAAAGGAGAAAAAAAGGGGGAATATAATGAGTGTGTGTCACCCGGTATAAAATAATGAAAACTTCGTTGAAAAGAAGTAAATAATGGTATAGGTTTTATACCTAGTGGTGAAAAAAATAATTTCACTCGCTCATGATCGATTCACTCACTGATAGGTATCATAATTATGTTTATTTAATTATTTTTCAGCCTCGACATTCGGCCAAATTACTTAATGTCTTACGACAGATGCCACAGAGGTCTGGACCTGACGTTTTCTTCAGTTTTCCAGGAAGGAAAGGATCGGTAAGCATCTCATAAATATAACTCAATAATTGTATGATTTGACCTAGGAACACAACTCCTTCGGTAACGGTAACAATCGGTGATAATTTTCTCCTACGTCTAGTTTTTTTCAGAACAGGAATACCGATTATCTTTATAATGTATAGGTAATCAAATTAGTCTTCATTTTCATCAAGAATTGGTTTCCTCAATTCCTGAATTGTCCTCTCTAAATAAGCTTAATTCTAGCCAAAACGATTAAATTCAATTAGAACTCTCCGTCTCGTAACAAATTTAACTAGGCACTTGTGGTGCTCTTTTTTCTGAACTTTAAATAACCCTTTTTCCTTCATCAAAGAGTCTTATGGTGCGGGCGTTAGGGATTTGGAATAGGGGATGAATTGCGCAAAGTTGGACAAGTTTCAGGTTCAGGAGAGATCTGATTAGTGATTGTTCTAAGCTTAAAGTTTCCTTCTCTCCAACGTCCAATAGAACTGTTGTGTTAATTGATAATAAGATCATCTAGATCTAGGTAGATGAGGGTCTTGGAGTCGGCTTTGAGAGAAATTGCAAAGTTTTAATTAGGGAAAGTTCCAATAATAGGTGCACAATAAAATGATGTCGAGAAATCAAAAAAGTGATCATTCTCATCAGTATAATAATAATCAGTTTTTGTTTGCTTCGGAGATCACCATGCATTTATACCTCGATTTATACCCATAGCTCGAGAGTTTCATGACATGTAAATACCTGATTGAATGTCATTGAATTCATGAAATAATTCGCAAGGGAATGCTGAAATGTTCAAATTCATCCTCACTCATATCTATAATGATGTTAATTTATTTTTTATTTCGGACTTGGTTCATCTTCAGTTTTAAGTTTGGAATATCACAAAATTGTTATGTCCCAATTTATTCTTTTTCTCTTTCTTTCAATTCTTATTTTTCATAGACGAAATTATAATTATTACATACCTTATCAATTTTTTGCAGGCAGTCGTATTACCACCTCTAGCGAAATGGCCTTACGAGAGTGGTTTCACCTTCACGACGTGGTTTCGTTTGGATCCCATAAATTCTGTTAATATTGAAAGAGAAAAGCCATACCTATATTGGTAAGTTGTCCATTTTCCTCACATAATAGTGGTGATCATTTTTTTGAACCCTGAGTGAAGATTTTCTATACCAACTGTTCCAATATTCGTAGAACTAGTCAATTTTCTCGAAAGTTTTCTTCTGAATAACCAATATAATTTTCCAGGAGAAAAGATACTTCCATGATATTTTGTAAAATTAGAATACGATAGTAATTATAACTTTTTTCTGTTCGCGTACATTTCGCGGACGTTGAACGCCTCGTTGGGTATAAATGCTGAGATGCGTTTACGTTGGGTCAGGTTCGCACCAGATAGCAGTCAAGAAGCTATCTGGGACAACCCTGCACTGATGAGAGCCAATAGCTCGAAACCGGTATGTAGGTAGTCACGCGTTCGTGAAACACTTAGGCGCAGCTCGACGTTTAGGAAGGAAACACTTGCGATTTTATTCTTCTATACGAATTATTGCATAGGTTTTGGGAGGATGTATTCCAATGTTCTGCGTGGAATTATAACCAGGAAAGTAGTTGTTTTTCTCTCGTTATCCACAATTTCCGTTCATGTTATTTCATTGTAGTAATAACTTTGAGTTTCTCTCTTTTTGTGACCATTGCATACCACTTTGAGTATTTGGCCTATTTCCTAATTAAAAATACGCCAGTCGTGTAAGCAGTCACTGCCATTTCACTGAAATGGGATTTTGTTTTGGGGTGGCGTTCGGCGTACGCGTTCATTTCGCCTACGTTGAGTGCCTCGTGGGGTTTAAATGCTGAGATACGTTTAGGTTGGGTCAGGTTCGCGCCAGATAGCGGTCAAGAAGCTACCTGGGACAACCCTGCACTGATGAGAGCTCGAAACCGATCTGTAGGTAGTCACGCGTTCCTGAACCACTTAGGCGCAGCTCCTAGTTTAGGAAGGAAACACTTGCGATTCTATTCGTCTATAGGAATTATTGCATAGGTTCCAGGAAGATGTAATATAATGTTCTGCGTGGCATATATCCAGAAAAGTAGTTGTTTTTCTCTTGTCAATTTCGTTCATTTCATGAACTATTGTGGAAATTACTTTGAGTTCCTCTCTTTTTGTATTATATTTCTGGTAGGCGAAAAACAGTTGTGTGTCACACAAGCCGAAATAGTTATTTACTTAACAAGCGCGGAAAGTAGTACTTTTCCACACGCGACGGCAGTTGCACGAGCGACGCGGAGCCTACGAGTGTTTTCGTCCATATTATTTATGAAAAAAAATGTTTTTAATGAACAATATTTCATAATGATGCTACAAAATGGCACATAAGACAGAATAGTTACATGGATCATTTAGTTACTACTAAATAACATTATTTCCAACAATACAAAAATCGTGCGGAAAAGTAAGCCTGAAAGGCGTAGTAGATTTTTCATAACTAAAATTTTGTTCGAAATTTGTCTTTCAGATAGCTGGGCGTCTTCTACACATATCAAGTTTACAAAAAATTATCTATAATTTTGCGTGATCGATTTTGAGCTCATAAAATGTACTGAAATATGTTCCGAATACTTGAGGTGAATAGAAGAATCTGGAAGAGTGATGAAAAATATAGTGTCATTTTCAGAACTCTAAATGCGTCTAAGATGCGATGCACACGTTTAAGGTATCATAAAAGGGGTAGTGTCATTCGAAATTCACTAAAATATGATGGATCTACTTTTCTCTAACTCAATAACATTCGTACCAAAACGCATTCTGTCCAACTTTCTTATTTCACGACATATTCGCATTGAAAGTTTTCAAATGGATACCCTGTACTCTCTTCCATTTGGCAATAGCTAGTCACTGGATGATATCAATTAGATAACAGTTCGGACATTGAAATGACAACTTTTAGTATTTTTGAATGTTTGGATTTATTGAGTTACACAAGAGCACCATAGTCCCGCGCTTTTTCAAAATTGTTTGAATTCGACAATAAATTCTATGAACGTCAGAATTGAAATATAATTTGAGAAGAGAGCATGTATCAAAATGTCCTGCTGTTCAATGAATTGTAGAAATTCTGAAGAGAATGGATTTCATTTATTAAATTTTCCAAAGGAAATATCAACCATTGTCTTATAGAAGAAATGTGTATGAAACGGCCTAGATGGAGAATTAATTTGAAAACAAGCAGAATTTTTGAGGTGCATACATTAAAATTCACTTCTCATTACAGCAAATTTGAATGAAACTTCATTTTCGACCCATTTTCAAACAGGAGATTTTAAGATCCGTTTGAGAGAATCTGCTGTTCCATCCATTTACAAAACAGGCTTTTAAAAAAAATCCATTATTATCATCACAGGAAATCCAGAACAAAATTATCATGGAAAAAGAGGAACTGATTGCAAAACTTCGTAATGTAATTGAATGTACAGTCGCATTCAAAAAAAAAGCGTACAAGTATATTACAGAGATAAATTATTAACGTCAACCTATTCTGCATAAAACGAGCTATCGGGAATGATTGATTACCAAATGTTTACAGTAAAGTTGTCATAGGTTCTCAAAAAAACAAAGCATTGGCTGAGCCAGTTTCACACAACTAGAACTAGGATCCCGCAGTTTCACACAACTAGAACTAGGATCCCGCAATCCTCTCTTTTTAATACTTGTACGTTTTTTCATTGAATACGACTGTATGAGAACGAAACTGAGGAAGTCATGTACATTGAAACGTGATATATCATTGAATGGCGTTCACAATACCAACCAAAGTAGCTATAAGTATATTTATATGTCACGAAGAGAGAAACTCAAAGTCATTACCACAACTAGTTCATAAAATGAACGACAAAATGGTAGATAACGAGAGAAAAACAACTACTTTCCTGGCTATATGCCACGCAGAACATTGCATTACATCCTCTCGAAACCTATGCGATAGTTCGTATAAACGAATAAAATCGCAAGTGTTTCCTTCCTAAACGCTGAGCTGCGTTTAAGTGGTTCAGGAACGCTGACTACCTGCAGACCGGTTTCGAGCTCTTGGCTCTCATCAGTACAGGGCTGTCCCAGATAGCTTCTTGACCGCTATCTGGTGCGAACCTGACCCAACGTAAACTCATCTCAGCATTTACCGGTCTGCAGGTAGTCAGCGTTCCTGAACCACTTAAACGCAGCTCAGCGTTTAGGAAGGAAACACTTGCGATTTTATTCGTTTATACGAACTATCGCATAGGTTTCAAGAGGATGTAATGCAATGTTCTGCGTGGCATATAGCCAGGAAAGTAGTTGTTTTTCTCTCGTTATCTACCATTTTGTCGTTCATTTTATGAACTAGTTGTGGTAATGACTTTGAGTTTCTCTCTACGTGACCAATGCATTCCACTTTGAGTATTTGGCTTTTTCCCTAGTTGGATATTTATATGTGTCTATTTCATCATATTAAAATGTTGTGACATGCATTCTTCTCATCATTATAACTGTTGCTCTGCGAAAAGTGCCGTACCGCTATCAATTCATCAATCAATTTTCCATTTCCATCTCCATCCAGAAAATCTAACCTCTAATTGAAACCATCTAGTGACTCTAGCAATAGCCACTTGAGTTCTTGTGTTCTCGTGTTTATTGCCTGGCAACAAGATTTCGAAGATCTTAGGAGTTATTTCCATTTTGTGCTCAACTCTCTCATGCTATTGCTACATAAAAATGTTGTACATCATGTTGTTCATGAGAAATACCCGATGCTTTTCATATTCAGACATTCTTTCATCGATACAAGAACGATGTGATTTATTCAAATATTTTATGTTCATGGCATGAGTACATTTGTCATATGTGAAATGAGCCTTTTACAATTTTCTCCGAATACGAGCCTTTCTTTCGAACTGGAACTAATGTGTGCCCGTCTCCGTAGTATATGTCTCCATTATGGAGATTAATTTTCTTTTCTCTGTTAATGGATAGCTTCAAGACCAGCAAAGGAGTGGGATATACGGCTCACTTCGTTGGAAATTGTTTGGTACTCACGTCGATGAAAATAAAGGGCAAGGGCTTCCAGCATTGCGTGAAATACGAGTTCCAGCCGAGGAAGGTGAGTTGTCTTACATTTACGAACGAAATATGTGTCCAATTGAATTCCAACTATACTAAATATATTCCAAATGTAAGTAGATAATACTATTTCACAATAATTCTAGTGTTCAAGATTGTAAATGATATGGCACCTGAATATATCAAACAGTATATCAACCTGAATAAAGACATTCATACGTACAGCACTAGAAATTCAAACAACTCACATACGAACAGAACGGCTTCCAGAAGTACCATGAAATTATTATTTTTAAAGGTTTCCAGAAATTCAATGAATTACCGGAAGAATTAAAAAAACTGTCCAATTTGGAAAAAAGTTGAAACGTCACTAAAAGAATTTGTGAAAAATTAAGAGTAAGAACTATTAGTTCGTATTGTGAAAGTGTTAGAAACTTCAATTGTATAAGTCAGTATATTATTTTCGATCATGATTCCACTATTTTTTATCGGTAGATATGACTAAGCAATCTGTAACAATAAGAACATTTTCAATAGCGCTTGTGTTAATTCAATTTGATTTATTGCGCTTGAGTCAATTTAAAAATGTATATAAATATCAAATTCATGATGTTATCATTCTATTAACTATTATGAGAATATACTATGTCGAACTGTCTCTGAAGGAATGTTTACTTGAAGAAATAAATATATCGCTCTGAATTCAAAATCATGGAAATTCTGATGATACAATTCCACTTTGAGTTCGAGTTTATTCTCAGCCTTAATCAGACACTAGTCGAGAGCAGACGTGAATCAACAGCAAGATATTATATAAGTTCGAATTTCAATTTGGTGATGACTTATACGAGGGAAAATACAATAATATTAGACTTTCGCAGAGTGCGAAAGAAACCAACAAACTTTGCACTTCATAAGTGGATTAAGGAAAAACTAAACTACACAGTGGACCAAGTTCGAGGTATTCAGTTCGATCACGTGAAAAGTCAAGTCTATGTGAAACTGGTGTCGAATATTTTACTGCAAGCAACATTGGCGAAGTTTGAACAGGGTCCTGCCCTTTTCGAAGACGAAGATGGTATCCACGAAGTTGGGGTTACAGAAGCAACGGACGAGATATTGGTTCGTGTTTATGATTTTCCATTCGAAATGCCAAACGAGAAAATCAGATGCGAGCTTTCCAAATATGGTACAGTGACTTCAATAAGGAATGAGTCATGGAGGGGTGAAGGCATGTATGTAGTAGAAAGTGGAGTCAGACAAGTGAAGATAAACATGAAGAGACACATACCATCATTTATTCGGATTGATGGTACCACATCCTTGGTATCATATCCTAACCAGATCCGAACATGCATGATCTGTGAAGACCCTGGACACATCAGAAGGGACTGTCCCAAACGACCAGTGAACAGAATACATGAAATAAGACGCCCAAATGTTCCGTATATAGTGCCTGAGCAAACACATCAGCAGCAATTGACTGTTGACAGCATACCGCCAATAGTCCCGAGTGTTAGAGAAGAAGTACATGAAATAACTGCATGTACAGAAGATGACAGTGAGAACTTAGACAGGGAGACAGTGACTGACGAAATTCTTAATGAACCGGAAAGGTTATTAGAAGAAGGAAGTAATCCAGATTCAATAGAGCCAGTTTTGGATGTTGAATCACACGACCGTATTGAAGAACCGCAGTATACCCCAGTTACGAGGAAGGAGAAGAAACAAAGAAAAAGAAATTTAACGAAAAATGAGCAGTCAACCAGTGAAGAAGAGAAGAAGGTTCCAAAGCTGAAGATAAACCTGAAACAAAAAGATGCATTCATGGAATACGAGTACAACGAAGTTAGTAAGGACAGAGAGAAAAGTGGTAGGGGTGAGTCAGTTTTGCCAGATTATAGTGTGAACGAATTTTATTAATAGAGATTACTTCCCCAGGATAGTTTATTTGTTTTGTGAATTTAATTTTTTTTCTCAACTATCTTCACAGCGCTAAGAACGATTGCATCTGTTAATGTTAACTGTTTAAAAAATAAAATCAAACAAAAAATGTTGAACGAGTTCATCATCAAATATGATATAGATATCTTGTTCTTGCAGGAAGTAAATACAGAACATATCCTGACACTCAGAAACTATAACTATATAATGAATCCTGGTAGTGCAGATAGAGGGACTGCAATTATTCACAGAAACAACTTGGCTGCCAATAATATCATGAGAAACCCAAGTGGCAGAGTTACCTCTGCCTGCATTGAGAACATGAACTTTGTTAACATATATAGTCCCTCTGGAAGTCAGAATAATAAAGAAAGAGAACAATTCATTTTGAATGAAGTTCCTATACACCTCAAACCAAATTATCCAATGATATTTGCAGGGGATTTCAATTGTATCATAAAAAAGAAGGACAGCAAAAACGATAAAAGACTGTGTAAAGTTCTCAGCAGTTTCATAAATAATTTCAAATTGAAAGATATTTGGGAATACATTCATAGAAATAAAGAGGGGTTTACATATGTACGTTCCAATTGTGCTACCAGGATTGATAGGGCTTATATAACTGAGGATATTAAAGAACTGGCACATAGTTGCACAGTTGTACCTGTACATTTTTCGGATCATCATTCTCTAATTTTTTGCATTACGGCTGATTCCAAAAGAATAAATTCTCACGGATGGGGATATTGGAAGTTGAAAGACTATCTTTTAAATGACATGGCAATAGACAGGGAATATCAAGAATTATTGAACCATATCCAACAAAACAAGTTGAGGAATGATGATGTAATTAAATGGTGGTTCGGGATTTTCAAACCAAAAACCAAAAATTTTTTCAAAACAGTGGAAATTACTAAAGCAATAGAACATAAAAACATGATAAACTTTTATAACAACATACTAGTTGAGTTAACTAATCGACAGAACGATGGAGAGGATGTATATAATCACATAAAATAAATTAAATATACGATTTATTATTTACAAGAACAGAGAATTGAAGAGATATTCAAGTACAAAAATGATACTGGGGAGAATGAAAGAATAGCTTTATACGATATTTGTAAGTTGAAAAACAGTGCGTCGAGAAACAATATGGAATATCTGTATAACGGTAGCCACGAGAAACTAACCAAGAAAAAATGATATGATGAAACTTGCAGAGAATTACTTTGGTGAGAAATATAAAGGTGCTAAAATATGTGAAAGAGAAATGAGATGTCTCTTAGCGCATATGGATAAAGTACTCAATGTTGAGAATCAAGAAATACTGAAGCGCAAAATAACTCAGAGTGAACTAGAAGCAGTATTAATGCAATCATCTAGGAAAAAAACTCCCGGGCTTGATGGATTAACCTATGAATTCTATAAATCCTACTACAAGATTATCGGAAAAATGTTATTGGAAGTTCTGAATAAAATTTTTGTGGATAATATTGACCCACCAAAAGAATTCTCTGAAGGTGTTATCATTTTATTACCTAAAGATAAGAACCCGCACCAATTAGAACAATTCAGACCAATATCCTTATTGAATACTGATTACAAAATTCTCATGAAAATTATCGCCAACCGTTTCAAGATAGCAGTTGATGGTATCGTCGCGGAAGAACAAGCAGTTGGCCATAATAATTCAATAATAAATAACCTGTGCATTAATAGAGATCTAATTCTTCTGGCAGATCACTATGATATTTCCGGTGCTATTGTTAGTGTGGATTTTCAACAGGCTTTCGATAGAGTATCGCATGACTATCTATGGAGACTCATGACAAAAATTAAAATTCCAGCGAATGTTGTTCGAGTCATAGAACTGTGTTACCTGAATGCAAGTTCTAGGATAATGATTAACGGAAACATGACCAACCCGGTGGGAATAAGGTGCTCAGTCCGACAAGGATGCCCTCTCTCGATGATTCTGTACAGCCTTGCGTTAGAGCCCTTTTTAAGAATTTGTAAGTTCTCAATAGAAGGAATTCAGTTGGATAGCTTGATACTCAAAGTAACAGCATATGCGGATGATGTGTCCGTATACGTCAAAAATGAGAAAGACATAAAAAATTTACTGGTAGGTATATCAATTTATGAAAATGGATCTAACGCAAGAGTAAATCAAGTTAAAACAAAAGTGTTAGCGCTTAGAAACTGGGAGAATAGAAATATAGCGCCATTTACTCATAGTGACCAGATCAAATCGTTAGGCATGATTATGTGTGCCAATTATGAAGAAATGGTAGAACAAAACTGGACCAGAATCATCAGGAACATCGAAATAAAAATCATAACAGATAATATGAGAAAACTAAATCTAATAAAAAAAGTTTGGTATCTTAACACTTACTTATTTTCGAAGATATGGTACTTAGGACATATATTGCCACTTGAGAAAAAACATAGTCAGAAAATAGTACAGTTATCTGGGAAATACATATGGCGTGGGCAACTATATAGAGTTAAGAGGCAACAACTTTATTTGTCTTATGATAAAGGAGGTCTAAAATTAATTGATATTGATGCAAAAGCAACAGCTTTATTTATAGGAACTTGTCTCAATACAAATGATAAAATATATTACAAATCTCCCTTAATGGATTTACTAAAAAATAATAATTTAAATCATTGAAAAATATTGGATGCGAACTGCGAAAAATTGTCATGAATTTTGATCAAATAAGCACCAAAGTTATTTATGAAGAAATTTTAAAGTCAAGGAAAGTAATTCCCACTGTTGAAGAAAAATTCAGGAATCAGAATTGGAAAATTATTTGGAAAAACTGTTCCAACAAATATATCGATACCAGCTGGAGAGCAACGATATTCAAAGCTCTAAATGACATATACCCGGTTGCCGAGAAAATGAGAAGGCACAATATATTGGCCAACTCGCTATGCCAATCCTGTCAACAGGAAGATACCTTAATGCATAGAATTAGAGAATGTGGTAAAGCTAGAGACGTATGGAATTGGGTAGTTTCAAAAGTGCTAGTCAAATACAAGGTAGATGTCAATCGGAGTTTACCTGAATTATTTGAATTGAAAGTAAATGTGAAAGAAACCAACTCGTGGGTTTGGTATTTGGCTGGCACAATTTTCTTCAACTTAGAGAAGAAATTGACGTTGGAAGATTTTGTGCAAATGATGAGGAGAGACAGACTGCATAAAGTTAAATCAAAGGAAGATACTAACTTCCATCGAAATATTTTTGTATTTTGAATTTCAAATATCCTAGATAATAAAAGGATATAGTATCTCACATATATAGTCTTATATATATACAAAGTTTTATCTAAATATTATAAATTAATCTTATACTCATTGTATATCTTAGCCTGTATAGATAATTGTTCATAGCTTTAGGTCCAGTCTATAGATATAGTGTAAGATATTGGAACTAATAAAGGGGAAAAAAAAAAAAAAAAAAGTATTCATTGTAACATAACCAAATATGACAAACTAATGGAATTTGATGATGTGATCATCTTCCCATAAAGAAAACATCAACCTTGACGTTATTTTATGAATCATAATAACAGGCAGGTGTGCCTCCAAAATTAACCAATCAAGGCGAAGGTCATCCCTTCCATACGGTTTCACAATGTCTTCTTAATTGGAATGGAAACATAGAACATTTCATAAGAAAAGTACGGTTTCCTAGACATCAATAGATAATCTATGAACATCCTAATAATTGGAATTTTCTCTGGATCCACTTCTATAGTTTTCATTTATCTGGATTTAAACGATTTTCTATCCTCGCCTCTATCTATGAATGAAAACATCAGGATTATTTCAATTTAATGTGTAGAAAAGACAAATCCTGAAATGTCTGCGCTGAAAATTTCATCATCAGAAACCAATGAGAAGAATTCATTCGACATCTTGTTTGAAAATATGGAGAAGAAATATGAATTTCCTCTTACCTTTGGACGTTTTGGAAACGAATCTGCTTCTGTTTTCAACATAAAATTGGAAAATATTTCTTGATAGTTAAATTTATTAAACTGTTATCTTCTTCAAATATTCTTCAAATAAGGTATCACTGACTATCGATTGAATTTCTCACTCAGGATCCTAATACTGTGAAATTTTAAGAGTTATTAAATATTGCGTCGAATCATCTGATTCGTCCTTACAAGGAGTATATTGAAAGAAAACAAAGATTTCTATATAGAGACCAGGATAAAAAATTCCAAAAATCTAGAGAAGTGGATATTCCACCTCCTCGAATATTCTGCAGACAGGATCTATTCATATTCTTTTTATAATATTACATGGAGCAGCGAAATGCGAATTTTTTTGAACTTTCTATAGATATCTGACAAGACTAGCAATATTTTATTTCAGAATATTCTAAGGAAACCCTTGAGTATTTATTCTTTCAATACTGCAATATTTGATTATTCTTGCTCTGGAAACAATGTACTTCTTGAAGTTTTGCTTATAACAATATGATGCGAATGATTATTATACTCCCAGTTATTCGATCACAACTCTCTGATTATCACTTACTAGCTGACAGACAGACATTTGTTGGAGTCCTTCTATGCTCGTATCTACAGTACATATTTTATTGTTATTTTTTTATTTTTTCTGTGCTCACCTATAGCTACTATTATATACTCACACCTTTGTATTTTTTATTTGTTGTTTTACATATTAAAAATTTCAACCCAAACGGTAAAGCCGGTTAGTAGTCCAATTTTATTATGAAATCATCCAGGAACCCATCGAAATACCCATATGAAACTTCAACTGCCATAGTATATTCTTGAGGATGTAGTATACAACTGTCACGATTTATTTTTTTGAAATTTTATTTTACCTTCTTATACTTATTGCTGATCTTCGTTTCTTAATGGCAGATGCCTGGGCCCATAACCTGTTCGGATATCGGGTTTTTATCATTATATTGATTCAACAATCTTATGAAGATCAACCAGAACTTTTTATTCAAAACGTATATTGAATTCTTATGAAGTAACTGACAGTAAACAAATTCAATTATTTCAACATAATACAGGATGTTAGTATATCTCATTTAAATGTGATGATTATTCTTCTCAACAGTGAAAGTTTGTTATAGTTGTATGGTACCAACACTTTTTTGTAGATTGTCCGATGGAAGAACGTCGAAAACATGACATTACTATGGATTCAAGAACAGTTCTTGGTGACAGCTGTAATATTGTGAATATCTTTGGTTTCCTCTCTGACATAGGTCTACTTAACAAACTATGATAACTTAATCAGAATGAAATTATTATTGTCTGCAATGTTATCACTAGAATACTATTGTTATGTTGCTAATAACCCTTAGTGGTTCATACCAACAATTTATCTCCTGATTAAAAAGAGTGGTATTCGGTAAAAAAAATACACCGAGATGACTATAAGATTTCACTAAATAAAATACAAAATATCAACTCAAGTTACGCAAAATATTAATAAGGTGGCTGGAGCTAGTTCATACTAACTTCATTCCACTAGAGTTGATTAATTTTGTTACAACGAACTCGTCAGTATGTATAGTATTAATATAATTGATATCCACAATATTATCAGGTTGAATAATACACACTTACTTGAGTTACACAAAATGAAAGAAAAATAAGTTTCTCAGGTTTTCAGAAATTCATGTTACTAAAGTTGGTGGAAATATATTTTTTCACAGGAAACTCGAAGTGCTATAATTATAATCAATGAAATTTGCTCACGTAATGTTATCAGGTTAAATAAAGTAAGATTAAACGACTTGAATAAAATGATAAAAAATAAGTCGATATGTCTCAATCTCTCAGTTTTTTTGAAATTCATTCAGCTTGAGTTGGTAAAAATATTTATTTTCACAAGAAACTCATCAAAATATGGAAAGAATTTGACGTAATTTGAAGTTAAATGTTAATGTCATTTCACGTATTACCATCAAAAAATTTCCGGTGTAATTTCATGCTCCTTCCCCCAAGGAGGAGGAAAAATGGTCCATAAATTTGTTTGGTTGCTATGGAAACGATTCGAAATACAGGCCGTTAATTGGTCGAAAATGTTAGGTGTGAAATTTTTCCTGAAATTGCCTGAAATTATCTTAATCCTAGATAGTATTCACTACACCATAAAAAATGGAATCATTTATTAGGATACTTTTCGTACTTTGGTTGCCACAACTTTGAATCACCGACCTGAGGAGATTTTAATTCATGGTACAGGGTGAAAGTTCATATTTTACTTATAGCTATTTCATTTAATATTGGTCTCACAGAAACGTTCAAATGGGCGAAAGTGAAGTATTTTTTTATGGGCATTCAGAATCTAGTACTATGGAATACGAAAAAGAAGAGTGAACCTGAAAATTCTTCACCCTGTATTTGTATTTTGTATCTGTGGAAATTGAAAAACTGTTTGTAGGTGAACAAGATTCATGAAATCCTCGATATCTCGAAAATTAACAATATTTTACTCACGTCTGGCTTTCATAGTAAGTCGTTGACTTTTGAGACACCCTGTAGAGCCTTCAAAATAATTCGAATTATGAATCAATGCATTCCAGAGAATAGGTCACTCAGAATTATTTATCAATTTCGGAAGTTGATACTTGTTGATAATTGTCCATATGTCCATTGACTTACCTATTTATAAAAAATCTCACACACAAAGATGTTTCCACTTCTATGGACCAAAACTTCACAACCCTGTAGAGCCTTCAAAATAATTCGAATTATGAATCAATGCATTCCACAGAATAGGTCACTCAGAATTATTTATCAATTTCGGAAGTTGATACTTTATAATTGTCCATATGTCCATTGACTTACCTATTTATAAAAAATCTCACACACAAAGATGTTTCCACTTCTATGGACCAAAACTTCACAACTCACTGCCCAATTATCTGGAACAAATTAATCATCTTTCCAAATATGAATCTGAAGTCGAAATTTTCATTCTTCGCAACTCTGACCTCTTCAAAATTTTCTGATATGTTTAGTCGATAAACTAAAACGTAGCGACTCAATGTCTCTGAATATCTTGATAACATATAATATTGGTCACTTACTCGTTATTATATACAAATATTTTTTGATTTTCCAAACACGAAAATTCCAAACTCTCAATTTTTTCTAGTATTATTATGTAAAATAGGTATGTACGTACTTCTGACAAAAATCCACACGCTTTTCATACTCCTTGGAGGATATACAATACAAGCATCACTGTGCGAATGTATTCCCTTAATGGAGTGGGAAGATTATATTATTTATACCAAAATAATTTAAAATAAGTAGGTAATTTACCTAAACCTATGTTATACATGTACGAGTACTACATTACTACTGAATGAATACAGTCTATAATTCTTGATTCAAAAAATTGCATTGGGGGTTTCGAAACCATCTCTCTTAAATCTTGTATATAGATGTGATGATTAGACTAACCTTTTTCTGCATAAGGAGTTATTTGAAAATTCATAAATATACAGGACAATTTCTTATCATTTTTGATTAATTTTGAATGTATATCTTTTGTAGTGGTATATGCTGGCAGTCGTTTATATCTACAACAGGTGGACAAAAAGCGAAATAAAATGTTTGGTAAATGGTCAATTAGCCTCAAGCACGGAAATGGCATGGTTCGTTTCGACAAATGACGTGAGTATTGCTTTATATCTACATGTAAACGGCGAGGTATTATCATTATTTATTGTTCATTGCCTTTTGGATTTGGCAGAGCGCCCGACGCTTTTTCCTCTTTGTCTTTCATGCTATGGTGATTCTGTTTGTTAGCATGGCATTATTGCCGTTTGATCTTTTTTTATGCATTCAGTACCATGAATAAAGTACAGCAATAATTATTCTACATGAATATATATTGATAATTCAATTATTCAATAGCATCGTTACAACTATTTTCACTTATAATATCACGAGAGCTCCAATTATTTATCGAACACAAAATATTCGTGTTCTCGAAAAAATTCCCGGATATTAATTGAAGCTAAAGTGATATTCGGTAAGAAGATTTCACACTGAAATATTATTAAAAAATAACTTGGATAATGACGATTTCTGATGGTTTTGACATTTGAATAGTAGGCTTTGTAATGTTAACTCAAAAGGATAATATATTTTTTTTTTATTTACGTATGTTATTCTTCATGTCAAAACTGAAGAGTAGGTATAATATCATAGTCTTTATATGAAAATGTATTAGTATTATTGATAAAATGCATATTCCTAACATTGTTAGGTTGAATAAAACCCAATTAATCTACTTTAGTTACACAAAATGATGATAAATGAATCGATAGTAGTTGACTTTTGGAATTTTTCACAAATTCAGTTCACTAAATTTGGTAGAAATATATTCTCCTGCAAGGAACCCAAAGTACTATTCAGCATATCCATGAAATTTGCGGTTGAATAAAATATATTTGAACGACTTTAGTTGAATAAATTGAAGATAAATTAGTCAGTAGTAAATCAATCTTTCAGTTTTTCACAAATTCATTCAACTAAAGTTGGTAGAAAATAATGGAAAAGGTGCCTATTCAAAATGATAGATAATAATATAAAAATAGTATAATAACAAGTTCTCTATTATTTCCAGGAGACCTAATATCTTAGTTATCCACTTTAGTTAAATGAAAGTTCTACAGAAAAGTTAATTATGGTTTAATATGTCTATTTTCGATCAATCTAATCTACTATAGTCGTCGCAATATAATTTATTCACCGAATTTGTTTGGGATTATCAAATATCAATTGCTTCTGGCGTGTGAAAAATATGGAGCTCTTCGTGGATTAGAACAGAATAAGATTGTTTCAAAGTAGGTACTACATATATTTCATGAAACATAGACATTCTATTCGTTTTAGTGAATGTTCGCTTTTACATTTGAAAAAAGGAATTTCTACAACACTTAGATGATAAAGTTGAAAATGATGGTTGTTTGTGATGAAATGTAAGAACTAACGTATAGTAACAACGTGTTTTTGTAACTTTCGAATTTGCAAGTATACCTACATGATATTATATGCATGGTAAACTGTTGATAAATGATATTTATTTATTGACTTATAGAATGAACTCGAAATAGTCTGAAGTTGAATGTAAATGTCATCTAAACTATAAACGTCAAAAAATTTCCAGTGTAATTTCATACTGTGTAATACAAATTTGTTTAGTTGCTATGGTAACGATACGAAATACAGGCTTTAAATTGCTGGAAAATGTTTGGTGTGAAATTTTCAGAATAATTGTCAGAAATATAATATACATAGTTATCTTTACCATATTGTCATCATACAAAGCAGAAAAAATAAATGTATCATTGTGGTTTGATCTAGTGGGAATATGTAGAATGTTGAATAGGTACACAAATACTGAAACATCGCCGGGGTAATTTGGGGAAATATCCCCGTGTTGAAGTATCTGTTCAGCTCAATTATTGTCCTTTTTACTGACACATCAGACTAATAAGCCATATTCGATGTAATCTACAATGCACTATATTTTTCTGTGAAACTCGAATTACCTGGATACTAATTGAGAACGGATGGGCTAAAATTAACCATCTTAAAATATGTGATTCTGACAAACCTCCTTAGAGGTTTGGTCAAAGATGGCCATGAAATGATAAATTGTGGTATACACATAATGCAGGGAACTAAGGTTGGTAAAATGGATAATTGATCGCATCGGAGGTTGCCTTGATCGGAAAACACATTGCGGGACAAACCATGTTTATAATGATCCTTGTATACATAAATGATGATTGACGACATAATTCGATCGAAAAATTAACTGGAATGTTTTATTTTTGGACATAAATAATAGTACCTTCTGAAAACGGACCCTCTTATGACGTAAAAACCTCATCTCGCCATAGTTGAAAGAAAATACCAAACGCCCGACGGAGACTGAGGCAACTGATATAATAATTCTTCCAACTGTGATCTCGCGCAAATTCACTCTGTCAGAAATCATGTATCATTCATCTCTGTCTGGAATAGTCTTGATACAGTATTAGGGGTTTGACGTCACATCATCGCCTCGTTTTCAGAGGTCCGAAAAATCGGGGATTTCAATAATTTTTTATAAATAAACGTAGGGAGCTCACAGCAAGAAACGGTTTGCGGTGGTGAGCTAGTTTGGGTGAGTTCTATCGACTTATGAAATAAAATTTTTCTGTGATATAAGCCCATTGGTCATTAATGATATTATTCTATCGAAAATTCCACTTTGGAGCAATGTATGACTTTGTCCAAGTATATACATTCATAAGAACCAAACATGAAATTCTGAATGGGATTACGTCACGAATTACCAATTCCTCTACAAATATCATCAGTTCTACCAACCATTCAGTATTGCAGCTCCAGATAGATTCGTGAAGAATAAGTAATACTAATGTATTACTTGTGAAATGTTTAGAGTGCTATAGGCCATAATATATTGGATGTTGATTCACATATAGAACATTTCGAAAATTTTGAGACCCATGGGTAATATTCATGGCTTCAATCATTATAGGGGCATTGTTCATAGTCCCAACCAATTTTAGACTTCAAAAAGTGCTGAGTTTGCTTGCTCACAGCCTTCGACTATATCATAGTATGGTAGACATACTTTGGTATCCGTTGAGAAATATTTGTACCAATGTTTTTGGTTCAATGGAGAATTTCCTTATAATTCTTTGAGCAGAACTAAACTCAACAATGAATATAAAACAATAAAAAAGTGGATGAAGGAGATATATGGAATCTTTGAAGTATCCTCTATTCTTTTCCTTTCAGGTTTTCGATAAATGTTATATTGGAGCCACGCCAGAGTTAGATGAAGAACGGGTGTTTTGTGGCCAAATGTCTGCAATATATCTATTTAGTGAAGCTTTAACGACTCATCAAATATGTGCGATGCATAGATTAGGACCAGGGTACAAAGTAAGTACCTACCTATTATTCACCCAACAAACACCAAAATTCCATTGATAACTTTCACGTCATGATTGAAATTGTAAAGAGGTCTCTATCGTTTATTGAATGCAAGAAAGAATGGATAACACCAAATTATTTTGTAACATTAATAGCTGCAACTTAAACTGCTAATTACCAATCAATTGATTGAACCTATGATTGTTTGATGTCCTATTGAATTGATTGAAGCTTTGATTGTGTGATGTCTTATTAAATATTGATTTCTTGGTTTATATATGCCTCATGTTCTCTTCATTCATTGATATTACCAGAGGAAAGGTGAGATAATATATCATTCCTGTCTCTTTTCGGAGCAATAAATCCCTTTCCCACTAAGGTACTTATTTCTTCAAAAAATTTGAGTCGCATCAGGGTTGCCATCTATTGAAATATTAAGACCGCATCTATCGTTCGAAATCGTTAAATAAGCGAATCAGTACATGCTATATCGCATATCCATATTTATATGTATGTATAGCCTGAGCTCCAAACAGAAAATCAATTTCCTTATTCTCTTAGGAATTATGGAATGGTGTATGAACAATGAATACTAACTAAGTAATCTGAAAGAAGTAGCACGTATCCTGTATAACCTTGCATCATGTAGGGAGTACTGAGTGATAATGGAAGGACCCCGCACATTTACTACGGAAAATGGCGTTGGAGTAATTTTTCTGAAAATTTGATATGTTTCAGATATTAGCGTCCTTATTACACAGTCCAATTCACAGATCGATCCTATGAACAGTTTTCGAGCTACAGGGTGTCAATCATTCGATTTAGTCTGTTTAGAATATTTTGCATCGATTTGAATTATGTGCTCTAAGTCGTGATAAATCTTATGTGGAAATGAACGCTCCACGTCTAATTTCTACCTCATGAATCCCTCTATTCGATAGATAATAATATCACATACAGGGTATTGCATTCCATCATGACAAGGTAATATTCATGGGAATAGACACATATTGAAAATATCAGAATTTCGATTTTTACTCAATCACTGAAAACTTGGAAACGAACGGCTCGAGTCGGCCAATTATTTGACAAACTATGGATCTTGGTTATCAACATGAGGATTCATATGATTTCCTCTGATAGAATGTCTGGTTTGCCATATATAGGGTGATGACAATTTGAAAGCTTAGAATTGATGTAACTCATGTATATACAAAATGAGATACATATCACGAATGGTTCATAACTGTTTATATAATACATAAAGTTGAAAATAAAATGTCTCATGAAATACCCCCACCAACCCCCTGAGTCACAACCACCCCAACGCATATCATTTCAATAGTACCCCCTACTTGTGATACCTCATTGAATAGCTCGGTGAAGATGCATTCCAGTGGTATAATTCATATCTCGGACTGGGTGAACTAACAAAAAATATGCATTAGCTATACTGCTAGGCAAGAGTGACGTATTAATTTCATAACTGTGTGTCAAATAATTGGCCGATTCTAGCCATCTGTTTTCAAGTTTTTAGTGATTGAGTAAAAATCGAAATTCTGATATTTTTAGAAATTAGACGTGGAGCTTTCATTTCTACTGAAGATTTATCACGACTTAAAGCACATATTTCAAATCGATGCAAATTATCCTAAACAGACAACCTCAAATGATTGACACCCTGTGTAGCTCGAAAACTGGTCATTGGATCGATCTGTGAATTGGACTGTTTAATAAGGACGCTAATATCTGGAACACATACAATTTTCAGAAAAATTTGCCGAAAGCCGTTTTCCGTACTAAATGTGGGGGTCCTTTTTTTTCCATACATACTATATATCATAAAGTGAAATTTGACATGATTTCAGATTGAAATCAATTAATCGATGTGGCCTACTTTCAGGTCATCCGAAAATGTTCTAATTTTTCAAATGGATCACCCTTTTTATTTTATTCGTTTTTCTTCAAACATCGAAAATTGTTGACATCCCGAAAGTCATTATTACACAATGAAAGTTCTACATTTCTTGATCATATTCATAAACGGAGAGTGAAATAGCGACGCTAGGAAGAAGATCCTAATTTTTACGCGATATGTTGAAATTCATGTTATTTGATGAGTATTTGACAAAAACTGTGTGAGCCGAGTTTGATCAGTCCGTTAACAGCATGGCGCAGGCGACTGAGTTCATTTCCGTGCTAATTTTGGCTTCCAAGTTTTTCTGCGAGCAAATGCGCATGCGTCCATGATGTATCATTATGGTAAACTCTTGGCTCCTGTCGCTAGGATACGTATTTTTATTTCCCCTCCTCAATTTATTGGATATATTTGATTTTACTGATCAGTTTATCCCCTTTTTTTTCAGAGCCAATTTCGGTTTGATAACGAATGTAATATAAATTTACCTGACAATCACAAAAGGGTGAGTGACAATGAGCAATCAGCATCTAGCATGCCTCTGGCTCTGACTGAATCAGATGCACGTTCCGTAAGCATTTTTTTAATTTATTTTATTTTGCACCATGTTTTCGTACGTCATTAAAAGAGGCACAATAATATCCGAGTAGAAGTTCAGTCATCAATTGTATTTTAGAATGGAAATTTCGATGATGTTATTGTACCTCTGAAGTAGAAAGTAGTTTTTTATGTTTATTAAAACAGACACATAGTTATTAAATTTGTGTTTTATTTGGATTTGCCAGTTATATGAATGTTCTATGTTAGTCGATAATTAATGGAAATACATATCTCCGGTATGCAAAAATGATATTCATGTAATTGTAGATAACTGAATAGGAAAGTCACACACCTTCCATATAAATAATAATCCAAGGCTACATTGGCAATGATGAAGTTAGTGCCTTGAAGACGGTTTAAATTGATTGTTTGAATGGATAATATCTTTGATGGATCGTGTGATTTTCCTATACTAAGCTCCATTCACTAATCAATGATTCATCATGACAATGAACTATGAAGTAATACTTCATTCTTATCTGGAATATGCTATGGATATTAACATAGTGGTAGACTTGATATTGTCATATTACAGGAGACTATGGAACAAAGCAATATTATGAAGTGTGTCTGTAAAGTATGGAATGAATTGATTTTCAGCCAAACTATTTCTGAGGATCGATTCCCAATCTCGATTTGCCACAGTCATACGTGGATATTAAATATTTAGGGTGATCCACGTGACGTCCGCGACAATTTTCAAAACCCTATATATTATTAAATTTCTGGAATCTCCATGGGAGCTGCATTCAAGAAAATATCACACATAGAATTTATATACAGTGCTATCGTAAAGAAGTGGATAAATTCATAAAGAAATGAAAGGAATTATTTTTGGAGAAAACACCCATTTCACATGAGCGCTGAATATAATCACAGAATAGACCCTTACGAAAAACAGTAATTTCACTTCTGTCGGAACAATTGATGTTGGCGTCCACAAGTTTTTTTTGCCAGACCAGTGCGCATACCACTACTTAAAGACTTGCGCGAGTATAAAACTCCTTGTTGGAATTAACAAAGTGTTGAGATAATCAAAATTTTTACAAGGATGTATCAGCAGAACTGTATTCTGTATTTGTTATATCTTCCTTCAATCTGATATCAACAGTAGGATGCATTGAAAAATTAGGGTTAGCAAATATATTTTCACATTTTTGCTCCTAGGTATGAGAAGAAATCCTGTTGAGGCGTATTCAAATTTCCATATGTATCTTCAACAGAATTATCCTATGTTATAAAATGTGTCATCTTTTTGAAATCTGAAGAAACTTAAACTGCAATCCGTCCCACTATTATTGCAACAAATAAAACAGTAGGCAGTTATTATCTTAATCTTAAATAGGATGGATAGAGCTCGATGAACACTGAACAGTAATATCGAAAGCAATAAAAAAAGCGAAACGGATCACCAGAAACGGTGAGAAATTAATGCATTCACACAAACTTTATGACGCACAATAAATAAACCTGCAATCAGAAATAAGTGGTTCACAAAACAATGAATAAATTGTGATAATTCTGATGGTTATTATCACACTATGAATCATAAAGGCATATAAATCAAAGAAGTGTAAGGCTGTGTCAAGTCATTCGTTCGACCACAGTGGTGATGCCAGAATGGCCAATAGTTGACTCGACTCCCATGTAAAATTAACTACGTTAACTTTGTGGGCAGGTTTGAAACGTGACTGATATTTCTAAACAGCTGGTTGGTCAAACCAATGGTCAGACTTCATACTGAACGTATGTGCCCGGTCAAACCACAGACTTGACACAGCATAATCAACACACTTGTCCTGCTAGCTGAGCTACTGCGCATACTAGCCACGAGTGGACATACGCACTGTGATTTTTAGGACACGAAAAGTGCTAAATTAATGCTTTCCGTAAAGGTCTATAGTGTGATAATATATAGGTTGTTCCATTTGAAGAAATTGTCGTAAACGTCATTACTCAGACGTGTTTCACCCTGTATATTCAATCTTCCCGTTAAAATGTGGCGAATTGAATTGGAATTGAAAATCAACGTGTTTCAGGAGATTCCTCAGAAATAGATAGTTTGGCTAAAAATGAATTTATTCCATACTTCATGGGCACACTGTATAACTTGATCAGCTAATGTTTTGGGGAAGTACATTTCCCCAAATTATCTCGTGACTATTCTTGATGTATCTCAATATTGAAGTGTTTGGTATATATAGATGAATATAAATGACCGCTACCAGAGGCGCGACCAGAATCACTTTTTAGGAGGGGCACAAAAGTTTCCAATGCGCTTCAATATGAACAATACATGAAAATGTACAATTCATTTGGAATTATTTGTTTGCAGTAAAAAAATAATGAGAGCTGGAAAAATTGTGAAAATGAATCAGATATTGATTCATTGATTGATGAAGAAGATGAAGTAATATCGATGGCTCTTGGTTGCGCCTCTGACCGCTACCGAATATCGGATAACCATGTCACCAGTTCACTAATTATAATGTTCTATGAAATTCCATGAATCCTGTATGATCTGCGAGCTCGAAATAGACAAAACCTATTCGTGAACTCAATATCTTACCTGTTAATCTGTAGGTTCTGTACGATGGCAAACTGTCTAGTGCCATTGTGTTCATGTACAATCCAGTCGCGACAGATACACAACTATGCCTGCAGTCAGCTCCCAGAGGCAATGTGTCCTACTTTGTGCACACGCCGCATGCTTTAATGTTGCAGGTGAGTTATTCAGCGTGGATGCTGGAAATGCTTTGATACTGTGGCCACAGATGAACCGATTCTCCAGTTGCTCTCTTTACTTCACTTTCTGCGGCGTTGAATCAGATCTGAAATGAGAATTCACTAGACTTCGAACCTATCTCAAGTTCAATTCATTGAAATGAAATTGGGACACAAGAATCATATCTGGACAGCAGTCCAGTAACCGAATGAAATATCTGAAATATGATACGAAATCGAACATTTTTGAAATAGACAATTTTGCCTGTGTACTCTAAAACATACTTTCGTTGAATCTGCAATCTAGGAAGTGTCGCTCTTTTATAGAAACCCTTCGGAGTTTAATCTTAATAAGTAACTTTTTTGTAGTTTTTCTAGTAATCGAATGTACCTAAATTGAATATATCATTTTTTTGGTGCGTTAAAAATTCGAATAAAAAAGGATACCTTTGAAACGGATTATGTGTGAAAATATTCAAGTTTAACAAATGTTTGATACGTCATCATCAACACTTTTTCAAGACCCTAAAAATTTGTTTGGAGGTTCATTGATGATCAATTATAACATTTCTTCACATCTAGAAAAAATGAGTTATCACTAAACTCTCATCTTTAATAATAATCGATACTGAATACTCAGATGACGTGAAATTGTTACACAGATCCTCAGAATACCAAATCGGTATATTTTAATGGCAGTCCCACATTTTTGCCTATAGAAATAAATAATTTGATAATTGTCTGGAAAATCAATGACATAACATAGCATCTCTCCACCACTGAGTTCAAGACTCAATCATTCTTTGATACACTATCCTGTCCATATATTATTGTTTTCAGAATACCACACAAAACCAATAAACGTCAATGCATTTTCCTTCTTTCTTTACTATGATGTTCAAGAAAAATTCCTTTGCCTATTATTATTACTTTTCATGCCATCCAATAGGCATAAATTGAATTCCGCAAACAAGCGTAAACGAAGTTTGTTTTCCGAGGGTAACTACTCATGGGAATAATCCACTTCAAGGGTAACTACTCATGGAAACAAATCACTTTAATCTCGCGTTATACACAGTATGTTTGCACTTTCGGCAAAATTGTTTCCAAAGCATTCGGAATCGAAAAGATCATCTCAGATCCTCTTTGGAGGGAATAAAAAGACATAAATTGGTCCCAAGATTTCGAAAATCAACTATGTATATGAACTCGGAATACTCAGATTAGATAGCCAAATATGAATGACTGTTAGTGGAAATTGAGATCTAGCTAATATAATTTCACTTGAACAGGCTGCACCGTTCTCGATGCCCTTACGGGATATCTCACTTATTTATAAAGATAGAGATCCGCAGTTCTCGCGAACGTTGGCACTGTGTCAGAAACTAGGTAAATATGAAAATTTGTGATATGGAAAATGCTGCCATATATTTATAAGGCTCTTCAAGAAACCTATTAAAAAAACTAGAAACAAGAATGAAACTCTTAACATCGTACAAGTGTTAATTGAATGCAAGACTGAATTGGAAGAGGTTTTTTCAACAATTTTGCATAATTTTGAAAATTGAGGGGCAAATCGAGCGTTCTGTATAAGAAATTCACGGCACCTTGATGATACTACCTTCCTACAAGAAATGTCTATGTAAATGTCATAAATGCTCGATCTACAGCTGATTTATCTAAAATTTGCAATTGTAGAAAAATGTCTTACATGATTACCATGAAAAAACCATTTTGAGCAGTCCTGCTCTTGTGAACAAATGAAAATATTTTTAAAATATGTTGGTCAAAAAACTGAAAAACACTAATTTAAAATTTCCTCTAAATTCAATAGACCACGGGATATCTAAGAGGCACTAAATGGGTATCTGTACACTCACCTGCAGAGAACATGACGGTGTTAGCTCTCTAAATCACCCGTTGCAACGTTTCCTCCTCTGCATGCGAGTGCACAATTCAAATTGGATACAGGATGATTGAATATACACGATTATTCACTTAATTTTCAGGATGTGAAAGCAGTGATTACACACTCCATTCATAGTACGTTGAATTCAGTTGGGGGAATTCAAGTTTTATTCCCGCTATTTTCCCAGTTGGACTTGTCTTATGAATCGAATGGTTCATCAGATAGCAAAAGGGATCCTACTCTATGGTAAGAAATATGATCTGGGAGGTATTACATTTATTTTTCAGGTTTCAGGATATTCAATAATTTTTTTTTTCAGTAACTCAACATATCATGTGATCACAGTCCTCATGTGTATGGTTGAAATAATTACATTACATGGATATGGGACTAGTATCGTTTGACGTTGCACACTAGATTAATATTTTTCCTGTTCGCAGTTCAAAACTCCTCGGATTCATCTGTGAACTAGTGGAGACCTCTCAAACAGTACAACAACACATGATTCAAAACCGCGGTTTTCTAGTTATCAGCTTCATGCTTCAGAGATCTTCAAGGGATCATCTGACGATAGATGTTCTCGGTTCCTTCCTAAGCTTAACCAAATACCTTGTTACCTGTCTAAGTGCCAACAGTGAGTTACTACTAAAACAGGTGAGTATAACCTTCACATAATATGATCGTTCGTGATTTCATCGATCGATATTTTACTCTGAGAGGAACAAAACACTCATTCTCTGAATTTTTACAAATAATCATTCTGCCCTTATTTTCGAATATGATTTGAGCTCATCCAGACGAATCAACATGAATGTTTTTGATGAAAATCAGTAGATATGGGTGGATTGGTACTCACCATAGACCTTTTATCCCAAGGAGAGGCTACATCTCGTTTATACAGAGTGGGCCATTGAAAACGAAACAGCGGCTCTGTAGGTCGGCAAAACCAAATTATGAAAAAATCTGAAACACGTCAACTATATTCTCGAGGGGGGCATCGTTCTAAAATATTTTCAGCCCTGCGGCGTTGCCGCTTCTAACGAAAAGAAGCAACAACTTTGTTATATCAAATGGAACACATTGTATTTCATTGCATTTTTAGATTCTTCCGGAAGAGCTGATTTCATCAATGCATCACACTTGGGGTCTAGCTGGAATGATTACAGGGATATAGGGTGTTCAAAATCGAAATTTTTCAACTTTAGGATTGTTTTGTATCGAAACTATTCATTATTGGTCAAAACGGCTTTCATGTCCCTATCTCAACTTTTGATTCACTATCTACTGACATTTATGTGAAACAAATACAGGGTGGTTCAAGATTCAGACTTATGATCACCCTGTATCTGTTACAATTAAATGTCAGTAGATAGTAAATCAAAAGTTAAAATAGGGACATGAAAGCCGTTTTGACCAATAATGAATAGTTTCGATACAAAACAATCCTAAAGTTGAAAAATTTCGATTTTGAACACCCTATATCCCTGTAATCATCCCTGAAACCATTTTAGCTAAACCCCAAGTGTGATGCATTGATGAAATCAGCTCTTCGGGGAGAATATAAAAATGCAATAAAATACAAGGTGTTCCATTTGAAATAACAAAGTTGTTGCTTCTTTTCATTAGAAGCTGCAACGCCGCAGGGCTGAAAATATTTCAGAACGATGTCCCCCTCGAAAATGTATTTGACGTGTTTCAGATTTTTTTCATAATCCGGTTTTGCCGACCTACAGAGCCGCTGTTTCGTTTTCAATGGCCCACTCTGTATAACTGTTTCGCCCTAATATATTGCCCTAATGGTTCCGTGAGGGTGATAAAGAATGCCTCTTTATCATCCAGTTATAGCTATAGTCTAGTTCTTTGCACGCTCAATTCCATCAATAACTAATGAAGATTACGAGAAATATGGTAAAACACCCACGAAAACTACGAAACAATAAGACCGTTACACAATGGCAACCTGAAATGCCAAAGTTGTTATTTTGTCATATAATTCATTAAATATTGTTCAGAGGAAGCTACATTGAGAAATATCGCATCTGGTAATCAACGCATATACAGCCATTGCTCACTTCCTAACTATCCTACAATATGGACTTCTACCAAAGATTATCCTACAATGTTGAAAGTGAGACCATTTGGAAGAGATGGTTATGAAGTTCATGTACCACGCAGTTTTTTAGACTATTATAGTGTGGTCTGTTCAAGAACGTGTTTTTTGTGTGCATACCTATTTGTCGAACGGCCGAGACGATTTTGTTTTCCGGTTTTCTGTTCTGACGAGGCACATTTTCACCTTACAGGAAGTGTCAATGAATATAATATGTGTTATTGGAGTGATACGAACCCCAGGGAGCTTCAATAGAGTACCTAGCACTCCACCTCATCGTGATTTGAAATGCAATTTTTTCCTGTAAGCCTTCAAAAACAATATATTATGTGATCCCCAATGTCATGGAAATTCCTGTGGCAATGCTTCAAAGATCGCGCGAAAACAGACATACAAATAAAAAATGTCTGCGTTTTATTCCATTTTCAAATCCATGTGTCAGACGCTCCTCTGAACGTATTTCAAATCTCTTCCCAATAATGACACTTAGGTAACAGCACAATTCCGTCGGACCAGAATTCGGCAATGTATGATCTGTTTGATTGTAAATAATCCTTCTCCTTGGGATAATAGGTCTATATTACTTAATCAACAAACAATAGCCATTATATTTATTTCCATATACAGTGTGAACCACTTGAGAAGGGATTCTCCTTATATAAACCACATTTTACAGCCGATTTCAATTTTTCATATGTCTAAAACTGCTTGATATTGAAACTTTAGGCTGATCCAAGGAATCTCAGTCCAGTGGTATCAGAATATCACAAAAAATCCAGCAGTTTTTGACATGTGAAAAAGTCGAAGCATGTCTGGAAATTGAAGTTATGTTATGAACGATTGGGCGTGAGGTAGCACTAAACCGTCCGCTTCGTGGTCGGATTGTTTCAACTGTCAAACTGACACTTTGTAATTATGCTACAAGTTATCGATGTATAACCCGAATATTTTGGAGAATTCATAGTATTCCTACTGAATATACTTTTATCTTGGATACAAAAATATGAAATTGGTTCACCACTTGACTCAGTTATTTGTAATTGGTGGGTTTACTAGTGTGAAGCGGGCTCTGTTATCCATGCCTACTATGTTATTCCTATTGCAGTCCATGAAAGGCTATTTCACGCCTTTGATACATACATAACTATTTCGCAAATATGTGGTAACGTGAATAATAAAAATGGAAGCGGTTGTGAACTGTGAGTTGGTTACACTGTATATAAACAGAATTAATCAATTTCACTCCTAACACAAACGGATAGATACAAAAGAGTTAGCGAAGGTGTGAAGTTGGATAGCATAAAATATAACATTCAAAGAATGTACGAAGGGTCAAATATTGTGGTTCAAATTCCTTGTTTTCTTGACAACAATCATTTGAGCATCATAATGGTTACCGTATTTTTCACTAACTTTTCTGTATCTCTTACGGTTTTTGAACACAATATGGTAGAACACGAATTTGTTACTTCATGTATAGTGATAATATAATAAACGTTTAATGACACTTGGATGCAGTATAATTGCATTGAATTAGTGAATGTTTTAGATGATCGTGGCAATTTTGTTAGTATTTTTGATGTTTTCTATTCACTTATACATGGTGTCCCAAAATTAACCTGCCAAACTTCACCAGCGGTTTCTACGATCAAAAATAGGAAGAAAAGTTGCAATGAACATGAGTCGAGAGATATCTCCTAAGGGAGCTACGGCCCCCAGAAATGGGGTTCCTGAAGATGATATTTCTTAAATATTTTCTCGCCTCATGTTCATTGAAACTTTCCTTCCTATTTTTGATCGTAGAAGCCGCTGGTGAAGTTTGGCAGGCGAATTTCGGGACACCCTGATCAGAGTAGACTTCCAAGATGTTTTACTCTGCAGTTCTGACGAATTGATTCTGGATTGTGACATTTTCCAGTTTCATGCTCACATGCTCACATATAGCGCAAATTGGTGGCAAACGTATAATATTTCTACGACTGTTGAGGGACGGTCCTTTGTTTTCTTCAAGTAGTACATTTTATTCTTGTTCTTTGCTCAAGTCTTATTAACTTCCATCAATAGCATTTGGAATTGTACCTTATCCACATAAGTAATAAGTGCCCTGAGTATGACAGAGATATATTTTTCATATAATATGGCATTTTTCCAAAATATTTTGACAACAGTTTATTGTACGATTATTCCAATTGAAGAAGCTACTATGTTAGCGTTATTTAGAATTTTGTGGAAATCTTATTGTTTGTGAAGTTTTTTACATTTACTGATTTCCATCAAGTAACGGCCGAATCAATAGAGCAGTTCAGCTACCGTTGAGAGAGAAAAAAAATGTCTTCCCATCTGTCCTTGTCTTCAGTGTTCCAACATGAAATAATGAAAATCTTATGTTGCCAACACTGGAAATGAGAAGAAATGGAGAAGAATACCGTTCTAACCTTCTTTTACATCGAGGTTAATATGATATTCTTCTCCATTTTTCCCCATTTCCAATGATGCCAACATAATATTCTCATTATTTTATGTTGGAATACTGAAGACAAGGACAGATGGGGAAGACATTTTTTTTCTCTCTCAACGGTAGCTGAACTCCTCTATTCAAAATTCATATAACGTAGTTATTCGAATTATTGATCGATTATTCACAATAAAAATGAAAACAATTTACAGTTTATTAAAATAGGACATGGATTTTCAAATAAGTATTCATAAACATAGATTTTATGTCTTGAATGCAATTGAATATCATCACAGATTCAATGAAACTAGTGTGTTTTTGAATAAATTTTAGTTTAGCTAGCTGCTAGACTTTAACTGGTATATATGTACATCAATCGATTTACGATCTATCAAACGCATAGTAGATTTTCGAATCTCATATAGTTTAAACATTGACAGAAGTAGCAGATATATAAAGTATCATTACTTTTGAAAATACAATTATTTATTGCATGTGCATGTTATTTTTATGAGTTGCATTTTCTATTTGCACGCATTTCTTTTTTTAATGTCACTTTCATCTATTGAATGAGGATTATAGTTCATGGATATGATACTTCATATTCATGTTTTGATTTACATTAAATGTGGTTCCAAGACGAGAGATGTTTATGTGTATAGAATAACCTATAGGTAATTATTAAGATATTGGTTATAATGTGTCAGTAACTTATTTGTAGTAATATCCCCCAATCAAAACAATTGTTCAATACGGAGTTTCAAATTGTGTTACATTCTTTTTCTGAAATTTTCAACCCATTTCTCTAACGCTTGTTATGTTCTTCAAACTTGTACTTATCCATGCATGTACATTTTTATTTTATCTCAGCTTTTTCTATTATTGAAAATAACTATCTATATATTCTGGTATTGGCTTTGTTAACATTTTGCTCAGTTTCATTCACTCTGCGATATTTTCCATTAATTAATGAGAACTTTCAGCTGTCAAATTCTATGTGTCCATATTATATAATAGTAGTGTAGAGAGCAGATAAGTTTCAATAATGTGAAAATGTGGTATTTCATGATGATTAAAAACATTCTTCAATAATTATGACCCAAATCATACTACTGAAAAATTATTAAGGATGACTTGATAGTAGAGATTCACAAAAGATTTAAGAAACAGAACACTTTGAAATTGAACCATAAAACAAAAGTGTCATATATTCCTGATTTTGTCAGCAATCTCATTTTCTTGGATGTATAATGAGCGGTAAATTGTGTAAACAATTAATCCGAAACGAAAGTTGACAATTTCACCTACCTGTACAAAAAAAATATTTGTGCATCATAAACAAGATGTTCTCGAAATTGAAGCGATAAATAAAATCGGTGATATAAGAAATAAACAAATTGAAGTATTTCAGAAGATATTGAAATTTACGGTTTGCCTGTAGTTCTTGTCAATTTTTGGTTGAAGTTTAACAGCCGAACTTGAACATTTGCTCTCGGGGAGGTCAGCAGCATAGGAAGTATCAGTGACTTTTGCAATGTTAATGGGCGCTGATGAAGCTTGATGACATTATGTTTCAATTCCATTTATTCATCGTTATTTACAAACATGTTTTATCACATAGAATAAGTAGTTATATCACTTTCCGCATTTTTGCTTTATTAAAGGTAAATTGTCGCCACCTCAGTGTTATCTTCACGAAAACAAAAATTCTTGATGAAATCAGATTGGTTTTATTCAGTTCTTGACAGCTGACAGCATGTTTCATGGCTTTCTTTTCTGAAATGAAGTGATTTTCAATAATTGAGTGTTCTGTTAGGTACTACATTTAATAAAATATAAATAATAAGTTACCAAAAGACATTCAAAATCAAAAATACCGAGAATTACTCTCATTATTCAATGAATGAGAGGTTCGATTTATCTGTACGAATCTGACAGAATTCAAGTTTTTCCTTGAAATACCTTTATGGTGACTGGTGACTACCTATTTTATTATCTTGCTTGACTTCAAGATGTAATTTTCTTTGAAATATAGAATATACTACGAGTGAAATCATTCAGAAACGTCAGCATCGTAAAAATGCTGAGTAAAATAATGGAAAATACCTGTAGACTGTAAATACCGACCCGAAAAATCATTCAATTCTATCATTAGAAAGTCTAAATTTACAGTTTTTCATTAATAAAAATTGGATGGGTAAGTACAAGGGCAGTGTGAACTTTTTTGATTTAGTTATTTTGCTTTTCATTCCTGACCTGGCAGCTGCTCGACCATGTTCTGTTCAACCCGGCCCTCTGGATTTATACACCAGCGTCGGTGCAGACGAAATTGTATTCCTATCTGGCCACCGAATTTTTGTCGGACACGCAGATCTACTCTAACGTCAGACGAGTGTCGACCGTGCTTCAGACTGTCCATACTCTGAAGTACTACTATTGGGTGGTCAACCCGAGATCTAAAAGTGGAATAACACCTAAAGGATTAGGTGAGTTAATGAATTGGTTGAAATCGCAAAATACATAGCTCTACAGTGTGTCAGTTTCGACTGGAAACTAGTATTATTTCAAATAATGAAGGAACATGATTGTTCATGGTATGACTTATGCGGGTGATCTGTATAAGAGAACGTAGAATTAGTCAGTGGGTTGTTCTTGATTTAAAACAACATTTTTTTCCTTTTGACGACGTGGAAGATCTCATGACTCGAGGACTTTACTATCTGTGAAACCTTTTCATTGATAGAGACAGGACCATTCACAGCACGATGTCAACAAAATCGCTGTAGCACTTCCAGAATTGTTCTGGAATACGTTCCAACGCCTGTCAGAAAATTTTATAACGAATCTATTCTCGATAAACACGGAATATTGAAGGCGGTCAGACGCCTTCCACTTACTATCATTGCACATTGGATTAGCGTAGTTGCAGGTGGACGGGCTGGCTAGCTAAACCTCTGCACTTCATCCTCATGGAACTTGTCGAATGATGTTTACACATTTTGAAATATTCCTATTGCCGAGATTTATAGAGATTGTGTGTGTGTTTAGGCCGGGACTCGCGCAGTGGAAGAGCGTCCGTCTCACGACCGCAAGGTCGTGGGTTCGATTCCCAGCAACAGCAAGGAACTTTTTTCAATATTTTATTTACGAGTTAAATATTGTAAAGTTTCGGAGCATCGGCTGGGGATAGTCCTGCACGATTCGCTGTTGCGTTCCAATTAACAGTGCTGCTCCTAATGTACCGCATGGAGTTAGTAACAAAGCCTACACAGAACACGCAGAAAGATACGATGATGTGGTTGTAAGCATCAGAGAAGAAGTAGGACGGTGTATGTAGGTGGGTGTGGAAAAACTACCAGCTGAGCGTGAGAGCGGGCCAGCTGCTTAGTAGACCTCGGTCTCGGGGGATAACGGGGATAGTTAGCAGGCCTGCCACTGCGCATATAGTAGTGAGTACATTACTATCCTACAAAACACAGCCGAAAAACTCTGAAAGAGAGCTGATGGGCGGTCCTGAAAAGGATGTTAACCAGCTCTCTTGAGCGAACCACATCAGCCATTGAAAACACTTGAAGTTTGCAAAAAGGTCCCATTAGGGACTAGTTGCTGACGTGGAAACGTCCCCCACCAGTACCAGTACCAGTACAGAGATTGTTCCATTTGCAGGTTTTCGTTTGAATGAATGTCAAAAATGTTCAAGTCACCTGAAATAGCCTAAGTGAACTAATTGATCAAATGATTTAGGTCCTCTATATAACATGAGTGCCATACAAAATGTAATTCATCATATCTTGAAGATGAACCGTTGTTGTTTAATTGTTTTATGATATTGATCCATGTTGAATACATCAGGGGATGAAGGAACATTGGATAACCTATGGAACAAGGATTGGGAAGCTACAAGTTTATGTGAGAGAGAGTGACAAGATGAAATAAGAATGACAGTATCTGTATAAGGCTTGCGGTATACAGGGTGTTCCTCAAAGACATTCTAATATTCGAGGGGGTGATTCTTTGACTCATTTTGAGGAGAAAACTTCATATGAACGTATGTCTTGGAAGTCCTAACTTTTGAGATACAGGGTGATGAAGTTTTGAAAAATATTCAGTTTTTTGATAACAACTGAGACAATATTGTAAACATCTTCATGAAATTTAGTACACGTCTTTTACGCATCAAAGTGCATTTTCTAATGTACAAAAATTTTTATTTTCTCTACCAGTGGCACCGTTACGGGAATATTATTGTTTATATTTTACTCAAAAGTGAGCAACGACAGAAAATTTTCAAATTTTTATACAATGTCATAAAAGATCCTCGTGTTGATACTCGATAGAACGCTTCGTTTTCGAGAAAAAAAAACGGGAAAACGAGACTAGACTTCAAATTTTGATGTCTGAGTACTCCATTCAGGACATCCATTACTGGATAACAACAGTATGTAATATTTTGAAATTTGTATACCGATTCAGTCACAGAGCAGACTGAATTTTGCCATCACTGAAAGCTATACAGGGTGGACAAATATAATCTATGCATATTTTCAACATTGACACCCTGTATCTCAAAAGTAAGGACGTTTACGACATACGTTCATATGAAGTTATGTTCTTGAAATGGGACGAAGAATCGTCCCTTTGAATATTAGCATATCATTAAGGAACACCCTGTATAAAGACATTTCTTATTGTCTTTGTTGATGAGTAAATCTGATTGTACCAGTCGTTGCAATATCTTCATTAATCTTCCTCAGATGGTCCCAGGCCTGCCCACAAAGACATCCTCGCTATCCGTTCGTACATCCTCCTCTTTCTCAAGCAACTCATTATGGTCGGTAATGGCGTCAAAGAGGACGAGCTTCAGAGCATCCTCAACTACCTCACCACCATCCACGAGGATGACAATCTCCACGACGTCCTGCAGATGCTCATCTCTTTGATGTCGGAACATCCGTCATCTATGGTAATGTTATGTAATTTCTTCCTCTTTATATTGTATTCACACGGAATGAGCAATCAACAAAATTATAAAAAAAATTTCAATAATATAGATGAGTTTTGATCTGCTCTTGCATAGGCGTTAAGAAATCAGTTGGTTGGTAGTAAAAGAGTATAGTGTGATTAAATGCTATGATAACAGATTATAAATTCATTAGAATATTAACAAAAGCAAAGAGAAGAAAATACATAGTCGATTAGAGTACACTATTTTGACTGAACACAAATCATAAATGGCAGTTGAATTCTCTCAAAATGAAGAGGTCCGAAAAATAGTTGAATATTGTGAAAGTAACTTCTAGTTTAAATCGATATACCTCAGTTGAATCTACTTATCTTTGAGTCACTTCAGATAATGGCTGATGAAGACATAGTTATATGATAATTTTAGTCATACTAATCCTTGAGAAACTACCTGGCATCTCTATTACACATTTTGATTTGACAGGTATCTGACTATGATGTTAACAGTGGTGTCCCACAAGGTTCCGTTTTGGGACCCCTAATATTCTTATTGTTCGTGAATGATCTACCCTCGTTTATTCAAATCGTTATGTATGCTGATGACAACTCACTTATAGTATCTGGCAGTAACGCTGATGAACCCGAAGAAAAAATAAACATAATACCATATCAAGAATGGTGCTATAAGAATATTCTTCTTCTGAATATAGGTAAAACAGAATGCATATATTTTTCACAAAGAAGAACACCGCCAAATAATCTAACAGATGTATTGCCCACAGACACCTTCTCCACTCACACCAAGTTCTTAGGAACCAGAATTGACCACTGTTTATGTTGGGACCTCCAAATAGACCATGTATGCAAAAAACTTCATAGTGCCTATTTTGCTATTTGACAGTTGAAAAACTTGTTCACTATAAAACACCTGACAAATGTTTACTATGCACTGGCATATTCCCACTTATCATTCAATGTTATTGCTTGGGGAGCAGCAACACGAGTTAATCGAGTATTTGTGTTACAAAAAAGGTTGATAAGACTATTATTCGACCTGGGCTCGAAGGATTCTTGTCGCACCTATTTTGTGAACAAGCGCATCCTAACTATTCATTGCATATATATTTATAGCACAATAAAATACATTAGGAAGAATATTGCATTTTTTCAAAATACCATGGAAAATAAGATCTATAACACAAGACAAAATCACCTTCTGAAAACAGAACACCACTCCACGTCATTGTATGAAAAATCTCCACACCATGCTGGTATTACTCTTTATAACAAGTTACCTGTGAACATTAAAAATGTTGAAACCTGCAGCAAATTCAATCAAGTAGTGAAAGCGTTCCTTATCGAAAATGCGTTTTATATTATAGAAGAATATATGTTCTTGGAAATATTAGTGGGATGCAGTCTGGACCAATGAATTAATTAGATTTCCTCGTTATTTGTCGAGCTTTCGAAAATTTTTATTTTCTTTAGGTGTATTTATACACCTATGTTTCCTTTTTGTGCTAATTTTATATAGAATTTCATGTTTTTAGTCTTGATAAAGAAAATAAAAATTTTCGAAAGCTCGACAAATAACGAAGAAATCTAATTAATTCATTGGTCCAGACTGCATCCCACTAATATTTCCAAGAATATTATTATAGAACAGTCACGAAAGCTTCCCCTTGAAGAATATATGAATAGGTAAATCCCCATCAATGTTAGCGATAAAATGTTAGTGATAATCTGTTATACATGTGTCGTGTTTAAAAATGTTATGTCACTTGCATCCATGTTAGTACCTAATACTTCTTTTTTTATATATACATCTATCGATAATGTTCAAACTTTTATATTCATTTTTATCTTTAAATAACCACTGTGTAAATGATTTTCCATTGTACTGACGTTCATATATATACACTGTATATCTTACATGATAATAAACTATTCTATTCTATTCTATTCTATTAACAACGAAAACAATCATGATAAATAAAACATTGTTTTTTTTTATAAAATCACCAACTGAAGACTAATAGCATTTCACTTCTTACTAGTACCTATCAAACTAAATAGAAGAACCCTGTTAGTTTTCTTCACAATATTTATTAACATCATGTAATACCCTGCGACTTCGAAATGGGTGATATATCCTAAGCATAGAGTTGTCCCAGTTGTCAGCTGACCGAGAGCGGCTGATAAGACCTGGTGGGTCGAAACAGTACTGCCTCGCTCCTGCTGACACTTGGGGCAACTCTGTTTATCCTGTATCTCTTAGTTATGAGATCTAGCAGTGGATAGGTTGGTGAAACTTCCACTCAAGTGAGTCAGGTAGTGTAATCTGTCAGCAGAGTGGTTTACTTGTAATACCACTGCCAGCGTATAGACGCAGGGGTCGATACACGTGACTATAGATGGCAGCGCCAATCAGGGTGTGTCGAGATCTTTTATGGTCCTAAGATATATGCCACTAGATGGCGACAACATGACTACTCTCAAACATGTATCTCTTCATCATAAAAAAACAAATGTTGATAACATAACTTGGAGATGACTTGAAGCTCCCTCTTGTTTTGTGAAATCTTTCCCACTTCGAGCAATCATAAACTTCTATGTTCTGTTAATTTAAAAAAGTCCAAAATACGTTCTATATCTAATCTTAGATATAAATCTGATATAATCATTCTCTGAACGAGTTTGAACATCCTTTAATGATGATAAATACACAGGTGCCAGCCTTCGACACCAAATGCGGCGTCAGAACCATCTTCAAGCTCTTAGCCTCCGAGAGTCAATTGATCCGACTGCAAGCACTGAAGCTGTTGGGATTCTTCTTGAGCAGGAGCACACACAAGAGGAAGTATGACGTCATGAGTCCTCATAATCTGTATACTTTGTTGGCCGAGAGACTTTTGTTGAACGAGGATACGATGTCCTTGCCCACATACAATGTTTTGTACGAGATTATGACCGAGCATATTAGTCAGCAGATCTTGTATACCAGACATCCGGAGCCAGAAAGTCATTTCAGGCTCGAGAATCCAAGTAAGTTACTGTATTTGATTTGATTGATTGATTAATTGTCTTTATTACCCCAAGAAACATTATTGTTTGTAAATAAATGGTATGATTCATGATATCCTCTTGGAATAAAGAATAATGTTAGGTTAGGTAATGCTTTTGCGAATATTTTGTTCATCACAGGTCAGTTTTGCGATTGTGTTCACATCATTGAACATTGTTTTTTCTTCCTATGTGTCTCTTACTAGGGAAGAAATAGTGATGAGTGGACAACCAAATTTAATATTCAAAGAGTTGCTAATAAACTTATCTATCTATCTATATTCAATCAATTGACCTATCCAAGATGCTGTCAAACCATCTGAATCAATATGGCCGACTGTAGGCACACATACTTTCGTGTAGCAATATAATATAATTGTTATAAGTTATAAATCTTTTTTTTTTGTCAAGAAGGAAAGAGGCAGAATATGAATTCGAGAAGTATTTTTCATCGTTGTCGTAGAAAAATTTTTAACGGTGCCTAAGAAATTGTGATTAAGGGTTGACGATAGAATAAATATTGATGTATCCTGATCGATGCTAGTGGTGAAAGATAGTAATTGTATACCAAGGTACATAAACAATTTTCTGTAAGCGAGGTAAGCGAGAATTAATAATCTTGCGTATCGTGGTTTATATTCCATCTTCATTTATATTTTCCACTATTAGCAAATCTTTAATTACCCTGAATAATAATAATAATAATAATGATAATGATAATAATGAATACATTTATATATTGAGAATTTGTTCAATTAAGTTACTGTTTGAATAACAACTTATAGGTTTTAGGTTGCTGATGTCCAACAAGCACATTTCTGCACTAAATTCAACAGTGAACATCCTCGCGGAAATCTAACAAATTTTATTGTTCAGAATGCTTCTGCATCATGCTATAAGTATGAGAGGTAATTGATCTAGACTGACCGCTAAATTCAATGGGCTCGTTATCAATGAAATATTTTCTCGCTTTGTTTAAATGATTCAAAATATTTAGTTCTTTTTGCCATTCAAGATGTACTTAGTAGATTTATTAAAGCAGATTCTACTCCACCTGTGAATAATTTATGTTTTCATCATTAGTCGTTTAGAGCTGTTAGATGGGTGACATTTCAGTATAGATGAAGCCAATTATTACAATTATTGGTCAGAAGGAGTGTAAAAAAATTCTCAGGCTGAAAATATTATACATGATGGAACCTATGTTGTTTAATAAAATTTAATAAACTCTTCATATTCTCCAGTGGTAAATTATACCTTGGTATAAATGATCGGAAATGCACCTCCAAATCCCTTTCAGCATATTTGAACATCAATTTCATTTCAGTGGTATTGAAAGTGGTAGCGACCCTTGTCAGACAGTCAAAACAGACCGAACAACTTCTAGACGTGAAAAAACTATTCCTATCGGACATGACGCTTCTCTGCAACAACAACAGAGAGAACAGAAGGACCGTCCTGCAGATGTCAGTTTGGCAAGAATGGCTGATAGCCATGGCATACATTCATCCCAAGAATACGGAGGAACAGAAATTGTCCGATATGGTGTATTCATTGTTCAGAATGCTTCTGCATCATGCTATCAAGTATGAGTATGGAGGGTGGAGAGTATGGGTTGATACTTTGGCCATAGTTCATTCAAAGGTAAGTCAATATTAGAGTATGATCAGCAGTGTCAATGTACTTGACACTGCTGATTTTGACGTTTTTTGTATATTCAGAGTACGGACACTATGACAAGCACTGACAATCAGACATAACCACAAATAAATTGATTGAAACAGCGGGAACTGACAGTACAGGGACGTACATGACATAAATTTCAAAGGTTTGACAAATTGAGAGAATTAGGAGAAAGACGCAAGTTTGTGCAGTTTCCAACTGTGAGAACACGGGAGATCAATTCACTCTATTCGAATTTTCATCGGATAACATAATTCTACAAAGATGGAAACATAATATGATGCGGCCGACATGGAATATAGGTTCAGGCCACAAAATTTGCGAGGTATGCAAATTTCTTGGTAGGATATAGAACATTTTTCAACGCATTTTTATGAGGTACACTTCAGAACGGTAGATTCAATGTTGAAGAATAGGATCATATTGGGAGAAAGAGCCGAACCCACAATTAATAAACTGAGAGAGTATCCGAAAGAACCTTATTTCAATTCAGAACCAACATGAAACGAAAAACTTGCAGATAATGAAATTCATTTCGAACATATTTTTGAAAGAAAAAGACTTGAGAATCGAATTTTCAGAGCAGGAATATTAAAAAATCGAAGGTTTACAAGTGGAAGAGAGTGAGGAATTCAGGAATAAAATAGAAGAAAAAAATAGAGAGTTGGAAAATGAGTTGAAGCAAAAAGATTTAGATACGAAAGTCAGAGTTAGCAAAATTGAAAAATATTACCAGGTCCTTCAGCCTTATCATTCAATATTTCGAGAAGAAATAATTTTCTAATCTATTCATCGTACCCTTTTACCCACTCGAGGAGACGCTTTGCACTCTCATACAAAAATCAAAGACAGAGGAAGATATATGGATTTACTCTTCCCAGGACTTGTGAAGAAAAAGATCCGAGGATCCTTTATCTAAGTGAAAAACATAATCTTGTCCTTGTCTGGCAAAACATATGATTTGCTTCAAAATCGTTTGTGGTTATATTTGATTGTCACTGCTTGTCTAGAGTCCGTACTCTAATATACAAAAAGCGTCAAAACAGCAGTGTCAAGTACATTTAGGAACTCTAGTCAATATGAATGTAAAAAACTCCACAAAGTTCTTGATTATTTTTATTTTATTTAATAAACGGATTCACGTTCACAGTAGAAATTGATTACATATGATCAGGATAGCATAAAGGCAATAACATCACAGAATCGTCTAATGAAGTTCAACAATAAAAACATTGACCTTCTGAGGTACAGGCATTAGGTTGAACAAATAAATTATGCCCAAAGAAAAAGAAGAAAAAAGGAATAAATACAGAAAACAAAAAAGATTCAACTGAATTAATGGTGATGGATTAGGATCAGTTTTACAAGGCTAGAGACTGAACGAACGTGTCAATGTTGCAATGTTGAATGCATTGACCAAGCAAAATGCGCCAAAAAGGGCTGAAGAAACCATAGGTTCTATGAGTATTTATAATTTTTCTCTAAAACAGTAGCTTCTTCGAGTGAAATTCTCGTACAATAAACTGAAGAAGATACTTTAGCAGAGCATGTCGTGTTATTAGAAAATTTATTGAAATCATATCGTTTGTGAAGTTTTTACATTTACTATGGGTTTCCATCAAGTAAAAGAGGCAATATAAGTTGATAATGAGGGCTAACATTATTTATTGTCCACCAGATCAGGCTACTGAAACGTGAGGTCAGAGTTGGTAGAACCGATAAATATACTTCTTCTTTTCATGTCATTTGGCCTCTTCGTACGATATCTTTTTGTCCGCCAATGAGAGAATTGGTGGTAAAGTTCCACTTCAAGAGTATGAAAACGTGAGTCTGTTCAAGTCTTTTCATACAAATTGAGAATTTTGTGATTTTTCACTTCTACAGTGAAAATGTTAGCTCTCAATAAGGATATTTAAGATTGACTAAAGTTTTATTGTCCTAATTTGGTTTTGAATACTTCGATTTCATCGATTCTGGTCTTATTTGATAATTTGAGATATAATTGATCAAGTCCGATCGTTAACTTGAATTTTCCCTATTCATTCGTCCAGAGAACGAAATGGCGAAAACACCTCAATTTGGTCTGAATCTGGACGTCCCCAGTACATACCTAGTACGTCTATGGTCCTAATCTGGACGTCCCCAGTACGTACGAAACGTCTGGGCCGGACGTTCACAGTTCGTTTTGGGGACGTAAAATATCATTCCTTCATATTTACATGAAAAAATATGATCCTTTTATTTTTGCCATATCATTTGTTCATTCAACTCCTTATTACATACCACTCTTGCAGAAGCAAAAATGATCCATAATATGGTATAAAAGTAAGTCTCATTGATTGTATCAATTATTAACTCATTCTGAACTTTTGTGTTACCAAAACTATCATTTCATAGTAATAGTATATGTACTTCAGCCCTATAATTTCATATTTCAAGAAGTAATCATTTTTTATTTAATGTATCGTACCCTCGTATGAAAGACAAAGAAACATATATGGATGTTCTCTTCGCTACAAATGTAAAGGAAGGAAGATGCGAGAAGCCTTTATCTAAGCGAAAAACATATTCTTGTCGTTGTCAAAACATATGATCTGCTTCAAAATCGTTTGTGATTATGTCTCACTGTCACTACTTGTCGAGTGTCCGTACTCTAATATCAAAAAAAAAAACATCACAACAGGAACTCTGGGTGTAGGCATCAATTTCTTTTATAGGTATCCTACGAGGAATTCAAACTACAATTCGCCCAGATGTACGAGCACTATGAAATCCACCGCGCCGACAACATAACGGATCCGCTGCTCAGGCAGCAGCACCCCATCAGCACCATTTCGGGGTGGCACGATACCGCCCAAACCATCCCCAATGGCTGTCACGCAGACAACGACAGGTGGCAACAGCACTCGAGGGCGTCCCTTCAAGAAATCGAGATGAACGAGAACGACAAGTCGGAGCAAGTGTGCAGCTGCGACTACAACTCGACGCTGTCCGACGGCAGCCCGATTTCCTACGTCGCCAAGCATGAGGACAGTGAGGTATGTTGAGTATTTATTTTATAATGTTTGTCAGGATTGAAGGGTCCACTGTTAATTGGACTTCACTAGCGGGTCTCGTCTCTATCTATACCACTTATCGATTTTCGGCACTAAGCAGGACACTACGAATAACTTAGGTCTCCACAACACACTTTTTATATATATATTTTACGTCACTACCCTTTCATATTCCACTATCGTCTCTCTCTATCCCTCCTAACCTCTCTTTTTCTTCTCTTATTTCTTCCATAAGTTGCATGCACATCTGACAGATGACCGACCCTGGAGGTAAAACAAACCCACTTTTTTATTTGTTTACAAGATTGAAATAGTGTTTTTTGGGGTATTTATTTATTCAAGCTTGCTATCATATTAACAGATTAACAAACCTTACATATGTGTTTGGTTTGGTTTGGTGACCTCGGACCTTTAAATTGGTACAAAGAGCTGCCAGTTCGTTTATTGATGATACAGTCTTGCTTTTTTATGTGGACCTAAAATATAACTTCACACTGTTGCCATATTGTGAAAAAAAAATTGTGAATACAATGTTACATTTTCCTAAGATGAACTCAATTGTTTTCAATTACCGATTTGAGATGCCTGGGAATGTGGGGAGTGTTAGAAAGCAACAAAGACGTCACCTGGCTTCATATTGTAGTTTACTTATGGCTATTGAGAAAAATATAAATGGCGTTCAATTCTGATCTAAAAGCTCCAAAGCACTTTTTTCAAGTAATTGTGGAATATGAAATCTTGAAATCAGTATTGGAGTCACATTTGAATGAGTTGAAACCTCAATTTTCTAGACAGTCCTATATAAAAAAATGGCATATTGTTATGTGATAAAACAAAGAATGCTTTCAACATTCATGATTTCAAAATGAAACATAAGGTCTGTTCGTTTGTATTGCTGAACTTGCTGGAGTTGATTTTTTTCCCATAGTTGTCTCTGTTTATGGCATGATGTGAACAGAAAGAGTCATAGAAAAAAATCGAGTTCAGCAGATAGAGCAAGCACAAACGAACAGGTCTATTTACAATCTTATTTTTCATTTTCATCATTATTATTGCTTATATAAACTTAACACTAAACTCAACCTAGACAGTAGATAATTATATAGTGCAAACGGGTTTTTCCAAATACAAAATCATGACAAATTCATCAAAATGGTCAATTTTCTGTTTTTCTAAGCTGAAGTTTCAAAACTACCATTGCTGCTCGGAAAGTCATGTTACTAAGTAGGTTCCATTCCACTAGAAGGTGTTCTAGCACAGTCTCTGTAAACACAACGATTTCCAACACTCTTTGAGGTTAGATTCAACTCAAACAGGCTTGAAAACTTGAAACAAACTTTTATGGAATGGAAATTTCAGTTTAAATAATAATTACTACAAATAATATTAAACGCACTGCTGATCGCACTGTAATAATAACACCAATGAATAACTATGAAACTAAAGGCGACACCGATGCGATAAGCATATTCATTTTCATTGTCTGCGGCCATATCGTACTCTGAATGGCTGTTAACAAGAATCCGCACAGTTTTTAGTTCGCGGTCAGATACTTGGGAAGTGCTCGAAAAACTCATCCTCTTTGATACGGATTTGCAAGCGCATATTCGTTGGTGGCTGAGCGCTCCCATCAATGGTGCATTGAAATTTGTTGCTGCAGCAATAATTTAATCGCCGGAAATGTGTATTACCGCCGGCTGGCGGCCGCCTAGACATCACATATTTCGATAGTCGAAGCCAAGAAACCTGGTACTCAAATAATACTGAAGCTGCTCCTGGCATTGTTGCGTCTCTACTGCGCATGCCGACATTGATCTTTCCAGCCAAATTCTTAAAATGGTATGAGTTCTGTGCTACTCACATAGCATTTTAAAATGTTGTCATTTCTTCTGCAATGGCAGCTAATAGAACACACACTACCAACAACCGTATTTCGTTAGCATGTCAGACCAGTCCTCTCGTTTGATTGCCTTCTTTCAGAAACTTCACAAGTGCTTCTATTAGCTCCTATTGCAGAAGGAATTCTTAAGAGAAATGACAAACTTTCAAAATGAAAATTATGTGAGTGGCTATGGTACTTTTGATTCACAATTTGCATACCTCCATCTGCATTTTTTGTGCATTGTACAGAAACAAAATGCGATGGCATGCTTGAATGAATAAATCCCACTTGTATGCCAAAATAATTGTGAAAAACTATGTCAATTCTTTGTAAACAAATAAGAAAAGAGAGGTTGTTTTACCTCCAGGGTCGGTCATCTGTCAAATGTGTAAACGTCCTTGGGATATTGTCAACAGGTGGTGTCTCTCGATTCGAGGACTAGTGATCTGTTCAGTGACGGGAAGATCAGCAAGGAGTCTGCTTATTCGCAGGATTCGCCTATGAAGTTGCAGATGGTGGAGGATCATATGGATGTCGTGTCGGATTCGCCTGTTTGCAATGGAGTGCATGTGGAGAGTAGCCCCAGTTTTGGAAGTCCTGTCAAAGGTATTAAATGTGTATTTAACTAACCTGATCGTAGTCGCCGATCACACTTGAACCTGTTAGCCCATTATACCTTAAGTTATGAATGAATATGCCGTTATCGATTTCACTATATACTACCTATTGTTATTATACATGAAGATATCTTTGATACCCTCATACTTGACATGTTTATCAGTACGAAAACAGAAAAGACATTTTTCAAATTTCAACAAATACAAGTGACACATTTTGTTTTCACAGGCATGAAACTTGGAATAAAAAAAATCAACATAATTACACTAACCATTGCTTTAGTTCAGTCCCAATTAGTTTATGGGATTTTAGGATGGGGAGGAGTAAAGCAAACATATTTGAAAAAATGTGAAGTTATCCAAAAATGGATTTTGAAAATTATTCATGGAAAATATTATTTATTACCAACTGATTTTTTATACAAAAAATCCCGAAATTGCTTTGCATTTTTTTACACAAAACACAGAACGGCGGCTATGGCCGTCGTTTTCTATAGCACTCCGCACAAGAGCAATTTTTCTGTCTGGCTGGATAACTTTTTTTGTTTTACTTGGACACTTTACACCATTCTACGTTTAAAATCGACGGATTACCCCGTTGGTGCCTCACAAATGCGAATAATACAAGGACGGCATAGGCCGTCGAAAATATTGAGTGTCCCAGTCAAGGGCAGAGACAACGACGGGCATATCCGGCGGTGTCAGCTTTATATTTATTCCTTATTAACTTACATGTTCAACCACAGAAATGATTTTAATTTGAAAGAATATACATATGATATAAGAAACAAAAACAAAACATTGAAATGCAATAACAGCATTGACAGCAAAGAGGTTATTTCTCGCAGATTATTACAAAGTGACAAGTACTTGAACCTAAACAAATATTAGTTCTCATGGGAAAAAATTTGAATAAAGTGTTAAAATATGATGATTCAGTATTTTAATCATCAATACATTATATAGACCAAACGAAGATCACGTGAGCGTGCGGGAATTTTGCCACACTGATCGTTTTCACTTTCGCATTGGTGGTGGTGCCATTCGCATGGTGATATGAGATACTTCTTTAGCAACAACACAGTGTGCTATAATATGCTGCTTTCATAGGGGGTCGTAGGAATTCTCTCTCGATATAAAACATGTCTTTCCATTTTTTTTACCGAACTGATGTTTTTTCAATGTCTTGTTGGAACACTAATAGTGTTTTCCACTCGTCGCAATAGCTCGAACTTGATCGGCGGAATTTTACTGAGAATTTCAGGAGCGAAATTTGTCGAGAAAAGATTTCCACCGTCTCTCAAACTTGCTCGATGCTCGCTCAAAGTTCGAGTTTTCAGAACCGTTTTGTGCGACTGTGCGTCACACATAACCTCAAATAGTCAAGTGGTAAAATATTGGAAACTTGAATGATGATGAATGGCTCATTGAAGTTCATTGCAATCATTTCCGAAATGGATGATTGTGATACAGAAGTACTTCGTTACAAAATATCATTTACCTATAATTCAAAATTAGCTTGGTACCTAAAAGTTATAGAAAGCTATTCAGGTGTGCAGGTATTGAAAACATTCAATTGTTACTCAGTCATGATGAAAAATACTTGGTAAACGACAATTCAATGCTCGAGCACTATTGTCGACCTTCATAAGACTGTTGCCGGCAGTGCTCACAGAGAGAAAACACAAAAGGTGGATGAATTCATTTTATGTGGACAAGCAAAACCAAAATGTACTACCAATCTGCTATTGAAAATTCAAATTTTTGATTGACAAAGCAATTCTGACATATCTGACGACAAGAAAAAGATAGTCGTAGCAACTCTCGATTTCTATTCCACTGCTCTGTGCTGGAACCGCACTATTTGCCAGTGCCACTTATGCTCTGTACTGGTGCGCTATGTGAATTGGCGAGTGGAAACCGCTATAAAGATAACGACAGAATCGAAAGACCAATCTTGTTTCCTTCAACGTCTCATATAACCAGACAAAAAGGTATGTTAACTCTCATCAAAATTAAATCAGATATGGGTAAAAGATCTATTTTATACAATGGATCAATTCTCTATACTTAATGAATTACTTGCCAGACTGAAGAAAACATTAAGTGTTGAGAAATTCAAAAAAGAACTGAAAAAATACTTATGTCTTTGATTCTCTTATATCATCCTAAATCAATTCAAGAACTTATATTCAACAGTCTCCAGAAGAAAAAACATTATATGTATATGATTTAAAAATGATTATCTGATTATCTTATTTTTTTTTTTTTTTAGTTGCTCTTTCATAATTTTCCCTGCTATAAACATATATGTTTCTTGGGAATGATAAAGATTATTATTATTATTGAAGCTAGCTGCACTTCTCATTGTGAACGTTTCAGGAAGTGTTGACAGAGCCGAAGTGATTGAAGAGATAATGCAAGAGATTCTCTCAAAATCTGAAAAAATGCTCGAAGAACATGTCGAAATTTGCTCAGATACCAACTCGAGAACCGTCTCTCCTGTTGTGCAAGACCAAGAAATTGCTCAAGCCATCAAAGAAGTAGTGAACAACGTACCGGAAATCGACAAGAGTAAACAAATTGTAGAAGACATCGTCAATGAAATTATAGTTGCTTCATCAGAAATGCAGAACGATCGGCTCGTTCGAACTGAAGAAGTGCCCATTCCACTTGAAGAAGCTGTCAAGCAGGAGAATGAATTATCGAGTCCTGATAAAGAGATGAGTAGTTTGCAGGAGGATCTACCTAGTCCTTGTAAAGAAGTGTCCAGTCCTGAGAGAGAGGTTCCTGATAGCGATCTATCTGAAAGGTGAGCCAAAACACATCATATATGTTGAAATCTTTAATGATATAAAAATTATTGAATTATTTCACTGCTACAAAATTGAAATTCAAAACTAGATTTGAAGAATTTATTTGCTGCTCTTACTAATATTTAATAACTATATCTAAATGACAATAATAAATTGTATACTTATTGACTGAATGCAAAACAAGATATACAATATACAGTTGACATTAAAATGAATATAATTGGTTCAAAACTTGAGAAGTTCAGAGTATACTGTTGAATGGGACCATTTGCCTAAGTCAGACTGTAGCAATATAGTACAAACTTTCATGCAGAGAGCTCAACCACATGGGTTTCGATTACTTCAATTTTCTTGAATTGGCGTACTTCTCGATATTTTTTCCAGTTTCCAAGATACAATTTCTCTTGTTAATTAGAAGACAGGAAAAATATACTATATCAATAATATTCTGTAGACTGTTTCATATCGATGTTCAATATATTTTATGTAGGTATTTATTTCAAAATCACCTTGTATGTACCAAATGACACTTCATAAAGTTCAACCTCCTATAACTCTTTCATTTTCGATATTAAGAAAAAATTAAAAATAGGCTGACAGAATTCATTTCCCCCCTCGAAATAACAGATACTTTGTCTTTTTCTGAAAAAATATACAGGGAGCAACAGATAGTGCATGAATTTTGAATTGAGAACCCTATATATTCCCTCACCATTAAAATGCCTTTTGAAGTGCTTTCCGACAATACCCCACTCAATATATTCATCTTCTGTATTCCTCAGAATATGGGCTTTCAAAACTAACAGAGTTTGATGATTTGAATGATTTTCTAGAGTAGGCCATGACAATGATTACAATTTTGATCTCCAATGATCACCGCCAATGAGAATTAGATGTCATAGGTAGCGATATACGGAATATACCAGGATTTGAAATCATTGTCATGACCTTTGCTTGAAAATCGTTCTAATATCGATCAAACTCTGATAGCTTCAGAAGCCCATGAAGTGAGGAAAGACCTGTCGAAGAGGAAATATATCGGGCCTTTAATTTAAAATTCATACACTTTTTACTGATTTCTGTATATTTTTTCAAATAGTGAAAATATTCCTGTTGATTCGAGAAAGAAAAAAATATCCCATGTGAGGCTGTTTTTCATTTTTGATTCTACTATAAAAAGATGTTATACACTGTGTCCGAGATAAGGATGTCTATCTCTGTCTGTAGACATTTTGAGTCTCCATCAATCCGTCATCGAGACTTCGTCTCGTTTGACTTGACATTCACTCTTGTTATGCACTTGTTACATGAATATAACTGTTTAGGTATCTCACGCCCACCGACGAAATGATCGAAAAAAGAGAAGAAGAATCAGAAGCCACTGAGAAGACTGACAAGTGTGATAAAGAATTTAGGACAATTGAATGTGTTGTGAATGGAGATGATGAAACGAACAATGAAAATGTGGAAGTTTTTGCAAAAGTAGAGGAACATGGTGACGTAAATGATGAAGTAAACATTAGTGAAAACGAAACTATAAATAATCCAAAAAATCTTGAAGCTGTGCCAATTGTTGAAAATAGTGCTGTGTCAGTAGAATTAGAGCCGTCCAAAAATGAATCTAGTCTAAGTGAAACGAACGTTCAATCTAGTGATAACGATTCTAAATTAGATAAAGAGGGCGCTGTTGTCAGTGAAGCTGAAGTGCCTCCGGTTGAAAATATACCAACAATTTCACAATTCTGTGATCCTAGTCATTATGATTCCGCTACCAATACGGCTACCAATGTTCTCGTTAATACAATTAGTGTCAGTAGTGAACCCTCGTCAAGCAATCAGACTGAAATTCCTCAGAAGAGCGCCGAAGAAATAAAGAGGAGGGTTAGCCTGCCCACCAATCGCATTGAAAGCCAGACGATAGATGCCAATGCGGAAAATAGTATCAATTCTGTTTCACCACAAAGGAGACCTAGAAGTGCTTCAACTTCAACGCAAGTGGACCCTAATCTGTTTGGTAAGTAAATCAGGCCATTGAGAAATAAACTTTGTGACTATAATGTAATCCATTGACACAAAATAAAATTTGCAAAATAGTAATTTACCTAACAAGTCTGGAAAAAACTATTTTCGGACATGACCGTGTAGTATAACAAATCAATGAGGAAAGTGGCTATATGTTGCATGAAATGCAGAAAAGCATCATAAACCTAGAAATTTTACATTAACTTCTATTTCTCAAAATTAAAACTCTGTCTTTTATTTTCCTTGTCCATAGAGCTCTTTCTTCTGAATTGAAATATATTTACTAATATTGAGGTTATCTTTGTCAGTTTTCGAGAAATATACCTAGATTCTAAGGCACTGTAGAATGCCAGAAATCGCCAGAAATCGCAACATTGTCATCAGGCTTTCTTCAACTGCCCTAGATCTATACCAAGAAATCTCTCAAAAACTGACAGAAGATAACCCTAATAAAGTATATATATATATATGAAATCAGAAGAAAGAGCTCTATAGATTGGGAAAATAAAATAAAGAGTGTTCCATTTAAATAATACAAGTTCTTGTAAAATGTTTAGGTTTACCATGCCTTTTTGTATTTTCTAGTAATAGATTCTGAATGTCCATAAAAATTACTTCGTTTTGGCCGATTTAAACGATTCTGGTAGATTTTTCAGGCAATAATTGTGTTGTAGCATTGGAAATTACGTATGGCACATTTTAAAAGTCACTATCACAGCTGCTTTCCATAGTTTATTGCGATAATTCCGACCAGAAACCATGCAAACTTTCAAGAATCAAAATGTCTACTAGTATCATATCAAATAGCTGTCAGCCACTATCTTGCTGCTACTACTCATTTGAATGAAATCACAATTTTTATTGGGAATGCCCTGTCTTTCATTCGAGAAATCATTGGAAAAGTATGGGAAAATTATGATTATTTTCAGATACTCTGGAAAATACTCATTCAGTAGTTCTCATCTTGTCATTATATACAGGATGTTCATACGAGATTTACTAGAAATACATTATTTTTTTGCCTTGAATATCCCATGACACTATTAAGGCGGACATTTATCATTTTCTCAGTGACAAATTGAGAAAGTGCGAGTTTTTGCATTTATTAATGAAAGTGCAATGGGAAAATCAATACTGCATTTTGATGAAAAACACCTGGAATCTATTAACAGATAAGAGACCAACTAGGTGGTGCTTCTTCTCAAAGTGGGATACACTGTCCACTATGATTGAATTAGTTTAGAATATGTTCGAGGCCGCCATTCGATTATGTGACACAACCCCGGTTCAATTTGTTTTTTCCTTTCTTGTGCAGTGGTGCCTGTCGAGAAGTTTACATGAAATTAATTGTCCAAAAACTGTATTTCAGCTTAAATTATTTTTCTAAAATTATCCAAACCTTTCTCGAATTTTTGAAACAAGAATTGGCGACATGGAACCTACCTGAAGCTTTCCGATGTGTGAATTTTTCTGAAGTAGTTTTAGTTGAAAAATTGAGTGATAAATATTCAGAATGATTATTTGGTTAGACTACTAGGTGAATACCTAAAAAAGTGTAACTCAAGAAACATCCTATTTTGAAATATCTCAGAATAATAATTCTCAGTCAACATATACCTAAATATGGCGAAAGTGTTTCGTTTCCGAGAATTGATGTATTGAGATGTTCTACTATTTCTACTAAATTTCATTAATCTCTATGCACTTGATATGTCATTTTGTTATTTGATGGTAGGTATATAATCTTTACAATGACTAAGTTGGTGAGATATCGTATTCTATGTCCCGAAAACAAAACGTTTTCAACCAGAATGGTTAATTTAACTATTTCATTGAAAATATTTGGATTCACGACTCTGAAATATTGGATGTGAACATGTTAGTATGATTTCATAAAGTACTGATTGAATTTATATTCAACCAAGTTATCCATTTCTCAGGAATCTCCCGCAATTTTTATTTTTAATTTGCCACATTTATATGGACAAATTGAATATACAGAGTGATCCACGGTTGAGTTATGACGACTGCGACATTTTTTGAAAATTGAATTCCCTGTATATTATTCAGTTTTTAGAATATCCATCGAGAGCTGATTTCAAAGATTTATACAAATAGGGTTTGTATACAGTGTCCCCGTAAGATTAAGTGCTCTCGTAAGGTAGTTTTCGTGGAAAATTAATAAGGAATAATTATTGAAAAGAATCGAACGTTTGATGCCGTCGAATTTTATTTTCATTCGGGCATTTTTGCTAATTCAATCAATACATACAGAACGATTCGTGCATGAGGAAATACATGATCCGTATTTTTTTATTTGCAATTCCATTCTACGAAGAACCTTATGTGATATATTTTTAAATCCAGCTTCTCATGAATATTCGAAAAATTTAATGATATATAGGGTGTTCCATTCGAAAAAATTGTCGTGGACTTCATAACTCTAACGTGGATCACCCTGTATACTTAATTTTTCTTCATAAATGTGGTAAATTGAAAACAAAAATCCATGTGTTCCAGGAGTTTCCTCAGAAATAGATACTTTGGCTGAAAGCGAATAAATTCAGTACTTTATGAAAGCACTGTATTATGATACTTATTTCTATGTACTGCTTCAGAAACCAAACATGCAAAATCGGCTTCCTCGAGGCACATGTTCAGTCCAGGACCCACTAGACCGCCGTTTAGGATACCAGAATTCAAGTGGTCCTACATTCACCAGAGACTGTTGTCCGACGTCCTGTTTTCTCTAGAGACTGACATTCAAGTGTGGAGAAGTCATTCCACTAAATCGGTCCTAGACTTCGTTAATAGCAGCGATAATGCCATATTCGTTGTCAACACTGTACATTTGATAAGTCAATTGGCTGACAATCTGATCATCGCGTGCGGAGGATTGTTGCCCTTGCTTGCTTCAGCAACCTCACCAAATGTAAGTTGAAGAATATCGTATGGAATGAGGAAGTTTTCAATATTGAGGTTGTTATCTCACTGTGAAGTTTGCAAAAATGTTATAAATAAGTACATATTTTCTTCTTTTTTTCATAAGATCAAATTTCACTTCAGAAATATATAAATTGAAAACGAACTTGGCTCCTTCACCATTCCTATGACGTACAAGAAAAGCCACATTCACATAGAGTTAAAATATGATTCTCTCTGTCAGTACGACGTTCCGACATCGTCAATATGTCTAAAATACCGAAAATTGTTCCTTGTATATAGTATAACTCGAGTACTATGAATAATTTTTATGAATCTCTTATTTGCTGGATGGAGTTGATTACTATAGTAAAGGTTCATTATGATATTTTGCAATAGTATCTATAATTTTTCACATTCGTTATATTACAAAACGATAATCATAACGTGTCAGTCATTATTCTGCAAATGATTTCTTTCTTTTATGAAACATCTTTTTTCTAGGAAATATATTATATATATTGCAACAGATAATAGGTCGCATGCACATATGACAGAAGACCGACCCTAGAGTTAAAACAACCTTACTTTTCTTATTTGTTTTCATCAGATTGAAATGCCATCACATTATGCTGTTGTACAATGCTAAATAAATGCAGTGAGAGACGAAGAAATAAGATTTTTCTGGTAAATTGTGATCTGAATGTACTCTGCCTACTCACTCACATAGTTTCCATTTTAAGATGCTGTCATTTCTATTTAGAATTCCTTCTGCAATAGGATCTATTAAAAAGACTTGTGGAGTTACTAAAAGAAGGCAAAAGCTTGGATTCGTGTAAACAAACGGGAGGACTGGTTTCGTGTGTTGTAGACATTTAAGGAATTCTAAAGAGAAATAACTATGGTCGTATGTGTTGTAGACATTTTCACTCTATTATCTCCTATTGCAGAAGGGATTCTAAAGAGTTGTGACAGAATCTTAAGATAAAAACTATGTAAGTGACTACCCTACTTTCAGATCACAATTCACTTGAAAAATCATTATTCCTTCGTCTCTCGCTTCATTTTTTGTGCATTGTACAACAGCACAATGTGATGGCATGTTTAAATAAATCAATAGCCCATTCATATGCCAAAATTATTTGGAAAACTGTTTCAATCCGATGTAAACAAGTAAGATAAGTAAGGTTGTTGTACCTCTAGGGTCGATCATCTGTCATATGTGCACGCGACCTATATTTCAAGCCCGTCCACACCATACCAAATATTGACAGGAACGTCGAGAGTTGTCTGATTTTGTGGTTATGTATGTTTTTATAAATGTTTTATCTAGTAGGTCTACTGTTTATAGTTGTTTTGTTAGTTAGGTGATCATCGCTATTTTTCATGATATAAAAATCAACAACGGTGCCAAGTTGTCTTCTTCTATTGTTTTATTCGATTTTCATTCGTTAGTTATTCGCTAGTTATATTCTTCATCATCAGCTAAATTAAGTCTAGATTCAGAATAGAATGTACGTCATAGTTTTGGAAAAGTGGAAATTGCTGTATTTTGAAAATAAAAACGGTACTTGGACTTTATCGATCGCCATTCTGTTCAGCGTGGACAAGACTGTGAGTTCGGGACTTATTTTATGAAGAGTTATCTAAAGGAAACTTCCCCATTTTATCGACCCATCATACTGCAATAACCATCAGAAAAAAAAATTTCACATGTAATATATTTTATGAAAAATGGTAAATTTTCAGAGTGAACTTGATGTCATTGAACCCACACAAGGAATGCCCATTGAAGTTGCAGTTAGTTTTCTACAAAGGCTGGTGAATATGGCAGATGTACTTATTTTTGCAAGTTCGTTGAATTTTAGTGAATTGGAAGCAGAAAAGAATATGTCCAGCGGCGGGATTCTCAGGCAATGTCTCAGATTGGTAAGCTACTCAGATAGGTTTCACATTACCTCATATACTTATCGATGACACCTGCTTTTTTGTCAATATTTTTGTGAGAAATAATATCAGTGAACCATTCAATATCATTATCCTGTCGGAAAATATTGTGTGGAATCACAGAATTCGTAGGGTATATAGCCAATCCCTCGACCATCCATTAAAAAGTGTTTAAAAGTGTTTTTAACCGCCAGCTTAGTTGCAAAGCAACCCTCGAAAGTCAGAGACTTGTGTGAGTTAAGAAGACGGGGACCTTAGCTTTTTAAGTGTCATCCGAAGCACTACTCGGCTGGTAACCGTGGACAGTCCAAAGGATTGATATCTAGGTACCAAGAATGTTGGGTTGGCCACCTATCTCCTCCCGCCCAACGAAACTACCGAAAATTAATTCAGTGCTCGCGCCGGGGATCGAACCCGGACCGCCTGGGCAACAGCCAGCGACTCTACGCTCACGGCCACCAGCCCAGCGCCCATTAGCGACGAGGAATACCGCCTTGGATGATAAAGACTCCAAACTCACTTTACGACGGTGTTTAACTAATCTAATTGCAAATAGTAATCATTATTCCTTCTTATTGACAAAGAGGAGACCAGGGTGATTTAATTTGGACACTTTTTTGCGTGCTGTCCTGAAAATTCAAGAGAACCACGTTGAATTGTGAATTGTATCTTATTCATATCCTTTTGTATGATAACGTGCAGCGATCGACTCATTACAATTTTCCGATCGCAACAAAAATACTCTGGGTTAAAAGTAAATAACGGTGCATTTGTCTCTTCAACCAGAAGAGACAATGGACTGAGCTCACGGAGAAAATGGACAGTGCATGTATCTTGAGAACCCCTTATTTTTAAAATACAAAACTCAAACGCGAATCCTTTGTCCTATTTGAATTTGTTTTGAAATGATTTTATAGTAGTTTCATTAAAACTAGTCAGAGGCGACCTTCCTGATTTCGTATTTCTTACTAATATTTGCGGATGTCCCTAAAGTTGGTAAACGGACACTTACATGTTTTTCAGGCTTCAACATGCTTGTTTGCTGATCTCTGAATTTTATAAAATAATAATAATTCTACTAATTTTGATTTCTCTTAGTCCGTTCTGTTTGTTTGATTTCAACATATTCTTCCATGTCTCATTCATATGCATCATGTTCTCATCTTTCAATTAGTTCATAGTTATATAATTATGAATGGTGTCTACTGATCTTATTTGTATTTTTAGTTCGTAAAATTCATGAGATTGAAGTATGTTCATTAATGTACAATGAAACTAACTATAGCTCTTTTCAGGTAGGCAAGCAAATGACTGAATAAATAAAAAATAAATGAATATTATATCAGATCAACTAAAAATGAATCATTAACTTTTTTCTATGATCAAATATAGTCTACTGTGTAGGTGCCCACGATCAAATTGCTACTGAGAAAAGCACTGAAGTTAACATATTGATAACGCAGCGAGAAATATGAAGCTGTCCATTCTCTCCTTGCGTCCAAATTCACTCAGGTGCTCTCTCACAAAGTCTTCTGAGCTTAGTAGTCAGCTTATCTGAATAAACCCAATATCACACTCAGTTTCAATAACAATAAGTCTCTCACGGTAAATAATCTTTGTGAATATTATAGAGAGCAATACTCAGCATAAAGAGTTGTCCAGAGTTTTAGAAATAAAAGGAAAGAGACTATATTATAGCTCTCAGTATGCCCGATATTTTGATAGTAAATGAGTTAGTTGAAATTTTCTAGATTTTTGTATCTCTTCGTTCAATTCCCTCTTCTATAGATTGAATGCTAAACTCAGCATATGTATATGGGTGCCTGACTTCACTTTTTAAAGCACCGAAGGAAAACAAACTATAATTGTGTCAACTGTAGACACGTGGTGTCACTTTCAACAAAATTTAAAGAATAATAATATGGTACTCTTAATTGATTGTGTTCTTGTTTTGAAAACAAGTTATTTGCATAAAACATAGATTCAAATAGAACTAACTGCATGACATTCTTATCGTTGCTTTTGTCTGCATATTCTCAATCATTCCAAATGTTTTTCGATTGTAATAGGCTGTGATAGTTTTGCTGAGTAGGATATTCTGGCTAGAGATTGTTTTGTATGTGAGAATTAATCTCTTGAACGTTTAGGTGGATGTCAAAATGGGTCATGGTACATGACATATAATTCATTTCCTATATGACTCACGTGGAATATCAACCTCAGATCATTATTTTTCACAGCCTAGTATGATCTTAAATATTAGGAATGACATAAATATATTACCATTTTGTATTATTTTATGTGTGTCAGGTGTGCACTTGTGCTGTTCGTAACTGTTTGGAGTGCAAAGAGAGAAGTCGTCCACACCACACTATTGCACCCACCTCACTGAGTTCTAGTCACAAGGCGGCACACTTGCAATCATTCATTAGAGGAGTCCAGAACTCCCCGAAGGTATGTATTTTTCCCTAAATATATGAAAATACTCTTTAAAATATTTACATAAATGCCTGCCGAACTAAATAGTTTCATATTGTCGACTCTGGGAAAAATTGAAAATTTGATTTGGTGTATGATAATATTTGTCTGATTAATTGTTCTAAAGTTGAACAGTATGAAATGTTGTGAAGAAAGGGACAAGAAAATGAACACACTGAATTTGTTGCCATGAGTTGGTCTATTTCTATCACCAAGCATCAATGGCATTAATTTCAAGAGTGAAAACACCAGTGATAGTCTCGAATAATTTTCATCATTCTCAGATTATAAGAACGATTTTTCTAAGGAGAAATAATAGATTGTGATATATGGATTGTGGTGTGTCATTATTTGGTAACTGATGAAAATATTCCAGCTGCCAAATAATGTGAAATTAGATAAAACAGCTGTCGAACATATGAATCTGGAAAGTGAATTTTCGAAAATCTATTGCATTTCATCCATTCAATAAAATTACATAATTACATAAAGAGCATTCAGAGTTAACTCAACTGTATTGGGATGCCGTGAAAATTTTTTGCACTCCTTCATTGATAAGATTCATGAAATCGACATTAAAATGTGCGTCTCGTATTTTTCATTGTGTTGGTTGAGAAAAATGAAGCGTTTTCTCACTCTTTGAAATGCTCAAAATATCAATGCTCGAGACACTGTACTAAAGATAATTCTCATATTTTTTTCATCGACTCAGACTTACCCAGATCATGGTAACATGTATTGCATGGGATTGAAGTGACACTTTCCTATTTCCCATGTAAATCCTAGAATAACTATTTATTGAAGTTTTTCTATGGCAGAATGTCGCTGACAATCTGTCGAACAGCTCGACGCCTGTCAAAGATCCAGAGAAGCTCCTGCAAGATATGGACGTTAACCGTCTTCGCGCTGTCATATACAGAGATGTGGTGAGAACGTTTATACAGGCACTACTTTCGATTTCCGTACTAAAAAATTGTCTAACCTTTTCACTTATAGGAGGAAACGAAGCAAGCCCAGTTCTTGTCTCTGGCCATTGTCTATTTTATTTCTGTGCTCATGGTGTCCAAGTATAGGGACATTTTGGAACCACCAGTTTCGATTAGGGCTCCGAGTCCCGTTCCAGTTGTCAGAAATAATGGAAACTCTCATCATTCGGGAAGTCCACAAGGTGAGTTTTGAAGTGGATTCGTGGGTTTATAGTAGATATATTGTATTGTGTAATATACAGGGTGTTTATTGAGAACTTGTACAAACTTCAAAGAGTTGATCTTTGACTGGTTTCAAGATAAAAAGTTCATGTGAACATGGGTCCGCAACGGCTGGGTTTTTGAAATACAGAGCTTCCAAATAAATTATTTTATTTGAAGTAGGCGGTGGTTATTTTCAGCAATTATTGATGTAAATGTTATTAACTAGTTCAGTCTCAGTGACAATACAAGCTATTGAATATACATTTTCCCCACATTTTTCCAGAATTCCAATGCAAAAGTTTAACTTTATAATAAATAGACTCATGTTCATATGAACTTTTAATCATCTTGAAATTAGTCACAGATCAACCCTCTGAAGTGTGTACAAGTACTCAATAAAGGCCCTGCATATCATCACTCTGTACACTCTTTGAACACTAAATACACTGCTAACAAACTATGACCGTTCGATCGAATTATATTTTATTGCCGGGTGTGTAAATTATTTCGCTTTATTGGCTTAACCAAAATATAGAATCTCCACTGAAACACCGATTTTATGACATCTCAATTATTCATGTCTCGAAATTTTTGGGACTCTCTCCTATATATAATAACCTCATGGACCTTATGGACAAATATATCTCTCTCAGTATGGATGAAAGAATCTAAGAACAATATAAAGAAACATCATATTGACAAATCTGAATTAGCTGAAGATATCCTTACTAAAAATTGACAAAATATGGCAGAATGGAAAAACATTCAGATCATAGGAAAAGAAAATATCAGCCAGAAAAGGAGAGTCAAATAGCTCGCTTGCGGTCTTCTGAACGGGGACAATAGGATTACTCCCTGTTCTTTTTATATAAATAGAACATGGTATTCACCCCTTAGATCGGAATATAAGAATGGTAAATTGAAGGTTAACTAATAAAAGCATCCTGCTGTAACTGAGTAACTGAGAAGTGCCATAGAGAAAACCAAATACCTCTTTTAGGTTAAAAACAGATTCTTTTTTTAAACGCGTTATTCTGAAACGTTTTTTTGATAGTGAAATTTGAATGTAGTGACATTTTGGGGCAAATCAACTGATTCATCACTACAAGAATATTGAAATATTGTATTTATAAGGAGCAAATCACGATAATTTTGAGAAATTGATGTTACACCTCGTGAAATAACCTGCAAAGAGTACCAATTTCAAATAGTTAAATATTGCTCATAAATTTATTGTAAAAAAACTTATTTTGATTCAACATTATTATCTTGAGGTGTGAGATTCCTAATGAACAATAGATAAAATTCTTTAAAAAATGAAAGTTTATTGGTCTCTGGCAACTTTCTCCATCAGAACCTCATGAAATTAGATCTCAATAAAGGACTGGATTGTCAATAAAAATCGGAACTTGGCAGTGATTACCTGGCCTCACATTGATGAATTTTTGTTGATCACAAGCACGCTTTTCACAAAAAATCACTAGCACATACCACATTCCATTTTAATTTTAGTGATATCCTCCTACCCACTGTGTACCAATGTATATAATGTAATATTTTATTATATCATCTATACTAGGCAGTGAATAATCTGAAGTGTCCCTCTCTCTCTCTCTTCCTCATTTGGATGAAGACCAATATGAGGGAGGCATTTTGCATGATTCACTGCTGATACTATAGTGAGATTATTTGTTGGAGTTTGTCACTTAGATATTTTATTAATAATTTTTTCCTCTTGATCACATGCAGAGGGGAGCGCGAGACCTCTTTTTCCTCAATGGTCCCACCATGTCTACCCCCAATTCCTTCCTGGCTCCCATCCCAATGCGGTGGTGCATAACAATTATGTTCGTCATCGACATTCCTATATGAAACACCACTATAACTTGAACAACAACCATCATTCTCACCACCAAAACCACAAAATTGACCACCGTTACCATCGAAATTCCGTTGCAAGTCGTGCAGGTAAATGTTCGGAGATTATTGTGTGTGTTTTTTTAAATGTTTGTGGAGCACGCTCTTTATCACAGTATACCTGTAGTTTCGATGTTGTACCTTTTTGTCTTGCTGAGTTTCGAAATTACTGCAGCTTTATGGACTGAGAATTGACTGATTGAATAAAACTCTTATTTGTTTTCCCACAACATGACACCATAGTTTATCGAAAAACTGATGATTATTGGTATTTTCAAACTCCATACGATTTCATTCTTTATCGATTTGTTTCTTGAGAGCATTTTCTAACCAAGTATTTACCAAACCAAAATGCACGAATAATTGACCATCAATAATGATATGGTGAATTTTCGACAATGTTTGAAGTAGTTTGCACCCTCAAAATATTCCAAGTATCCTATAAAACTACATGGTGCGATGGAGGCCTTCAATCATTATTTTGATATAAAAAAAACACCACTGCAGATTTCTAAAAATCTCAAAAAAACATTTGCCTAGTTAAACTTTATCCAATCTGTCTATTGTAAGTCCATGAAACTACAGTTCCTTCATTTATTTACCCATTAAGTTGTTACACGTCGACTGACCAAAATTGAGGTTAAAATCAATGACGTTATTTTAAGAAAGTTCGTTTTGACCAATTTTGTTTTATATTCATTATTCTAAATTTTTTTGGGATTTTCTCTCCTCGTTTCTATAAAATAAAAATGTGAATATTATTTCAATATACGTGTAGTAAGGACAAATCAGATGATTTGCCCCAAAATGTCACTGCGTTTAAAGAATTTTCCTATCATCTGATTTGTCCTTACTACACGTATATTGAAATAATATTCATATTTTTATTTTATAGAAACGAGGAGAGAAAATCCCAAAAAAATTTAGAATAATGAATATACCACCTCCTCGATTAACCTACAGACAGTATTGTTTTATATTATTCAAAATTGGCGCAGGATAGGAAAAACGATCAATACAGTGTGCGACTCGCATCAAATATTGTGGAATTGGATGAAATGTCTCTGATACCCCTAATTTAGTGCGAATTCACACTAAATTAGTCCAAATTGAAATGAAACATGAGGAGAATAATGTTCAATACATTTTGAGAACTTTTTCTGTCCGAAACTGGTCCATATGGATTAAGTGGTTATCCCTCAGTTGAAAGACTTAAATATAGGAAGAAATAATGTAGGTCAACTGAAAAATGATGATGATGATGATTAGTAGACAACTCAACGTTCCATTACAATATTATATCAATTTGTTTGGTGGAAAGATGTGGACTCTTACAATAGATTCTACATGATGTTAGCATGAAAAGACTGTATTTACCTATGTAACTAGATATTTTCAAATATATTATCTCATAAAAAGGGAAGCTGCAGTTCTGTGGTTGACTAATTATTACGTATAATGAATAATACTACAACAATAAAATGTTTTCAATTAGTACTTAGGGGTGTTTCATTTTATCAAATTGTCTCTTGAAATCTGCTTCACTTCATTCCTGACTAAATGCTAGGTGTAGTTTTATCAATCATGACACTAGTAGGAAAGCTCGATAGAAGGTATGAATAGGTATACACATTATTATCTCATTGTTCATTCTCAAACACATGAACAATGTCATCACATTGTGTAGGTATAGATCCAGTAACAAAGCTCATACATAAACCTAGATGCATTTTTTCATTGTCAATACAATATGTATCAACCTCGATAGGTTCATTGATATAGGCTCATGTTTTTTCAAGATGACTTTATTGGTATCATCATTTTGTCGCATGTCATGATCTTTCCATTCATTCGTATTTCATTTTCCTATCACGTCTCTTCCGCGGTTCACTGTTTGCATGCTAGTTGCACAAAATATTTTTCAATAGCTGATAATGAACTGTTTATTCAATCACAGCATCAAGGGCTATCCAATCCCAAGAAGATAGCGAGTATGACATTATAACGGCATATGTGGAGGACAGTAACTCCTTACATCCAGACAATGACCTTAATTCAGGTCCTGCATCAATCAAGGTAGGAATACTTTATTTATTCATCATTCAATATTGTTTGGGGTTATATTATTGTTTAGAGATGAACAGAGAAATGAACCACAGAGTAACGGAGCTGACAGCAAGATTTACACAAAAATGATAATTGAGCAATTGAATATACATATGCTTATATCTTTAGTTGATAGACAGGTTCATTTCTCTTAAAACATATTCGATTGACTGGATTATCTGGAGTGTATGGGTTGAATTTGCATTGTAGATAGCATTGCAAAATTCTAGAGTTGGTTTTCATTTGTTCTAGATAATTATTGTAATATATGCCAAATTCAATGTTATGTTCATTCATAAACTCATGATCTCTCAAATAATATCTACATGGTTATTAGAATGAATCATTATCAATATGAATGATCATTCAACTATACATGGTGTTGTTTCATTATTATTATAAAAACAATCGAGATTACCTTAATGGCAAGATTCTAGGTGATTTTAAAATAAGTACATATTTGAATTCATCAATATACCGGGTCGCCACGAGAACCGGGCAGCCCTTTTGAACTTCTGAATCACTTGAGTTAGAATTATGAATTTTGGAGGGTTCAAATAACATCGTATTTCGCATTCACTGATACAATTACACATTGCAACTTCAGATCAATGTTCATACACATGGATATTATTGCTCTTGAAACCAACTCTAGTGTATATTAAGTGTTCTAAAGTAGAAACGTATGACCTGAAAGTTTCGTTCGAATTTGGACAGTTTGAATTTTTTCCTTAGCCGAATAATTGTCAGGAATAAAAAAAAAAACACTGACAAAATCAGAAGTGAAGGGTCCAAGAAGTTGTTTTGCTCTTATTTCCAATAATTTTCAGGTGTTGCGTTTTTATTATTGATAAAGAAAATATATTTGATTCTGAGCACTAGGGCAATAGTCTTTCTCGCACTTGATCTTAAATTTGTCATGTTTGTCAATGCTGAGTGTAAAATAAGGCAAATTAATGAATTAATAGTTTTTCATCTGTATATTAGGCTCATTTGATATTATTGCAGGATTAGATTCCATTAGTTAGATGTATTTTCGAGATTTAGTGAATAGTTTTATTTAGGACATAGGATATATTTGCAAATCACGACTATTTTCATGTATGTATATACATGGTGTCCTATATTAATCTTTATTTGAAAATTTCTCGAAATGATTGTCACTGACAGAGAAAGTTGCTAGATAAAAGTTGTATGGTTTGGAAAGGGACGTCCTGTTATGAATCAAGTTTTGCATCCCGACCCCAGGGGGGTGGAAAATGGGGACATCATTGAAAACTTGAACGGAGACCCCCATTTTCTATTGCAGATTTTGGAAGAGAATTGAAAACTATGAATACTTCATTCAGGAACTTTTTACCTCCTAATGACGAAGAAGAGTGTAAGATGTGATATTCCCAGACAAACGCCATTGGAATGATATTTTTATTGCATATTCACACGAAAATTAAAAATTGAGGTGATTTGTCAGTCATAAGTTACTAGATTAGGGTGTTATTTATTGTCGATGATAAGTTGAATCTTGTGAAAATAAAAAAAAAGTTTCCGAATGAAACCTCCATAGTTTTCAATACTCTTCCAGAATCTGCAATAAAAAAATAGGGGTCTACATTTAATATTTTGATGTTACCCCCATTTCTCACCGCCTTGGGGGTCGGGGCCGGGGCCTTGTTTCATAACCGGACGTCCCCGTTCAAACCATTCAACTTTTATCTGGCTAATTTTTTGTCACATGCAATCATTCTTAGGTACCTATTCAATAAGAATTATTATACATATCTGAAGACATACTAATTATGTATTATTTTGCGATAGAAATGTCAGCTGATGTGGATTTCAGAATAATTTGAGTAAATCAACTGATTATCTAAAATTCTAATACTAATGCATGACTACAGAAAAACTAATAGGGAACATTGTGATACAATTGGTTTTGTTTCTTTCATTCATGAAATAGATTCTCAGAGATGGCAAATAATTTTCAGTGGGTAGATTGCAATTTGTACCATCACTAGTCGTAACCCCAAACTCATTTTGATATCCTCAAGGAATCAATATGACTGCGACACTGGTTAAGGGTGCATTGATTGCACCATTATACCACAGATTAACAAACCTTACAGATGAGACAGTCAGACAAGGCGCACAAAATCAGAGAGAGATGACAAAAGCGCAAAGTTTAAAGGGATAGTATCCCTAATGCGCAAGCGCTCGGGATTGTCTACATGCTTTCCACACAGCGTTGCCAGACCTACGGTTTTTGTCTCCGTTCTACTGTTCTCCTGTTTTAGGCATGAAACCTACTGTTTTGTTCGTTAACGTTAAACCAAAAGCAAAACTGGAAAATGCCAAAATTTCACACAAGCTGTCATAGAAATTAGGATTCAGAGTTGATAAGGTGTGGTTTTCAGTTGAAGAGTATTGTTTTGGAGACTATTCAATAGTATTCTTGAACTTGACCATATTTTCTCTAAATTCAATATATTTGCCTCATTCTTCAGAAAACATAGGGAGATTATTTTCTCAAGTGAATTTGCTGGAGTCGAAGCAGCGTCATGAGTCAAGTACAGCCAGCATTGTAGGATTTCTCTTTACCAAAAATAATTCATCTACAAGGCAATGATCATGTTTTGATATTACATAACTACCTAATATGTAACAATGATATTTAATAATAATAACAATATGTTTTGACACGTTTTGATGACCTATTGATTTTTCGTCACCCATCTACTGCTCTGAAAAATTTTCATCTGGCAACACTGTTTCCACATTCGACGGCACCACCACCACAGCACCACCACCACGATAAAAGCGTTTGTTTATTGTGAATTTTATTTGTTCATCAGTTTCAAAATTGATAATTTATATGTAAATGTCCAAAATATACAGACAAGAAGGAAATAAATTCCATATCCAGGTAAGGTACTCGGTTAAAATATCAATTGTAAACAGATTACCTGCGAAATGTTGCATGTGTTTCTGGTCCTACCTAAGCACCTTTATCCATCCTTTATCAATAAGCAATCAACTTTAATCATTTAAATAAAGCCATTTAATTACTTGTAGGTACCTCACCTCTGAATAAAAGGAATTCAGAAAATGGAATCACTTCTATATGAGTCTCGAGCAAGTAGTGCAAAGATCTGTGAAAAGTGATAGTGGTTTGAGTTGTGATCAAAGTTGTGATAGTGTTTTGAGTTGTGATTGTACTTGAAGAGTTTCTTGTTCAACTCCAATCAGTATAATTAGTGAGCAGAAAGTGGAATATGCAGCAATTCCTAGTGGAAGACACCGTTGTGTATTTATATACTGCAAGAACACCTTAGATATTTGAAAGAACATTAAGTTACATGGTTTTCCAAAAGATGACATTATAGGTACCAAACTGCCTTTTTAACCAAAAAGTTATAAACAATTGATCAGGTACCTAATTTACTCTCTTTTGTTCAAGTAGGGTGTCATGATTCAGACAATGATTATTGTTTTCAACACTAGTATTATTGAGACTAGTATTCTAATTCACTCCTAGAACAATTCAGTCATTAGGTATGTACACTGTATAGGGTATTCATCGAAAAAGACCACCCCTATATTGAAGTTTTTCTTCAATAAGAAAAAAACAATATGCTGAAGTTGGATGCCCCAATGAGGCCTTGACTCTTGTAATGTTGAAGAAAATGTTTTTGTCATATGCATTGACCTCGATTTATTTTTATGAACATCCTAATTCCAAAATTGTGATGTTTTTCACTTATTGAATTTCGTATGCATGAAAACGCTGTTGAAATTTATTGTATTTATATAATAAAAAAATGTCTGCTAGTCTATTTGTTAATAACTTTTATTTTATCCTAGTGTAAAATGTAAATGAATGAATGAATGAAGCTCACACCTGTCAAGTCTCCAATGTATTCAATTGATTCCTCTCAAATATTTCTTACATATTGATTTATTTCACGAATTTTGTAAAATAAAGTTGAGAATCAAATACATATGATGTTGAATATCTCCAATGAATTGATTCATATTGTAGAAAAATATTTATAAACTACTTAAAAGGCACTATCTGCATATTATATTACTTATATATTAGTTCAAAATAGATATTCATTCTGAACAACAATTTCATTCTGAAGTACTTAATGATTTTTCAATTCCTAATCAATTATTTCGTGTGGATCTAAGTCAGGTGATATTAAATCTGTCTGAGCCGATCAATGAACACATTTGAACCTTTTTATGATATCAATTCAGTGTAAGCTTTAGGAATTTCAAATGAAGTAAATCCCTGATATCAAGATATTCGTTGATATGGCGACGTTGCACCACGAATAATTCTGTGACTTCAACCTGGAATTTTGTGAACCGGCAACCGTGACGCGCAAAATTTAAAGGGACGAGGTCACGAAACACATGTGTCGGTACATCAAACAAAAGGGGCGGAGTGTCTCATCTGTAAGGTTTGTTAATCTGTGATTATACCATATGCCAAAGTATACAGGCTGATTCACGGTGGATGCCACATTGGACGTTTCTGGAGAACGCAACTCAGGATTATTCTGAAAAGTTGGTACCTTGGATAATTAGTTGTGTTCTATCGACCTAAAATATTCTCTGCGTTGCGACGTTGCCGCTTATATTGAAAAGTAGCAACAACTCTGATTTTTTCAATGGAACACCCTGTATATCATTACATTTTCAGTTCTCCCTGGATAGCTGATTTCATCGATCTATCACACTTGCGGTCTAGCGGGAATGATAACAAAGATATGGGGTGTGAAAAATCGAAATGTTTCAACTTTAAGAATTTTTTTGTGTCGAAACTATTCATATTTGGTCAAAATGGTTTCCATGTCCCTATCTTAACTTTTTATGTTCTATCAATTGATATTTAATTGGCTCAGAAATAAGATTTTCAAACACCCTATATCTATTTCAATAAAATATCAATTGATAGTGAATGAAATGTTGGGATATTAAAACTGTTTTGACCAATTATGAACAGTTTCGACACAAAAAATGTTGGAAAATCTCGATTGTGCACATCCTATATCTTTGTTATCATTCCCGCTGGACCCCAAGTGTGATAGATCGATGAAATCAGCATTTCAGGGAGAATCTGAAAATGAAATGATATCAGGGTGTTCCATTGAAAATATCAAAGTTGTTGCTACTTTCCAATATAAACTTCAACGTCGCAACGCTGAGAATATTTTAGGTCGATAGAACACAACTAATTATCCAAGGTACCAACTTTTTAGAATAATCCTGAGTTGTGTTCTCCAGAAACGTCTAATGTGCCATACACCTTGAATCAGCCTGTATACATATGCCATTTCTGATGCATAATACATCAAATAACATTAATCTTGATGACTAACGACCCCAAATCTCTCTCTACGGAATGCTTGGACTAGGCCTCATGATTCACTAACATTGCTTTGCTATTACTGTGGCCTGCCTCTTGATTAGGTAAACGCCAGGCAACGCCCATCATTGGCACACGGGTTCTCTGTAAATTACTCATTGGATGGAATAAGGCATGCTCGAGGTTGTGACAGTGCTCGTGTTAAGAAGGTAATGCATTTTGCTGAAACTAATTAATCAAAATGATTATATTATCAAAGTTACCAATTCGATTCGAGTTGAAGCAAACCAAAACATTTCATACAATGTGCTCAATATAAGGAGGACCAGTATGGGTATCTCGAAGACTTCGAGAGATACAGAGGGAGAAAGTTGCGCGAGTGGAGGACCAACAAAATGACTTTCAAAAATCTCTGATATGACTTCTCATTTTCGAGTTATTTCCAAAAAAAAACAGAATTTCTGGATTCCGGCGTTAACAATGAAGTTATGACAAAACTGAGAAAACATTTTCATGTCAACTTTTGATGCTGTTCAATTTGGCATCATTGATTTTATGATCCAACGTTTCGTCTATGAGCAAGCATCATCAGCTTTATTTAGTGATTTGGATGCGTTTCGAGCTCATTCTGGTCATCATCAGGTGATTTTTGGAATACGGACCAGAATTTTATATAATTCTATAAGAAAAGGTTGATTCATCAAATTGGATATTTAACAATGCTACATCAACATAATTTCAAAATTACCAATAATTTAATAAAAAATATCAACAAAGAAATGAACAGATTTCAAAAACTTCTTTAAACATCCAAACTATTAGATGCGAAACTGAGAAATTCACAAAAAGATTGCCATGCATTGCTTTCTAAGCATGCATAATAATTTCTTAATGTTGAATTTCTGGCGTTATACTCTGAAATGCTACAAGAACCAGTATTCTGAGTACTCCTTCTGTTTCGAAGGCTTGCTCATAAACATAGTTCTTGACATTTCCCCATAGAAAGCAGTCTGGCGGGGTTCCATCGGGTGAACGAGCTGGCCAGATCGTTTCAAAATTCGTGCTAATCACTCTTTTTGTGAATCTGAGTGAGAGGCAATTTCTAACAGTTCTCGAGTTATGTGCATGTTCACCATTCTACTGGAACTAACACTCCTGAACTTACGCAATTGGTGAATTGTCTAGAGCTACATCCATATCATTTTGGAGTAAATTCAAATAAATCTTTCACAGAATTATGAGAAATCCAGGTCCGTATTACAAAAATTACTTCATGATGGCCAAAATAAGTTTGAAACGCATCAAAACCACGATATCGTCGGAATCAGAATGGGAAGGGCTACTTAACTTTTCTTCCATTAAACCAAATCTGTAACTCTCTTAGTTTCCGAGATGCCCATACTGACCCTCCTTATCTTGGGCACAGAGTATTGTGGAACCATATTCACCACCAAGAAAATCCTCTCATATAATATTTTAATTCGAAATAAATATTTCATACTTTAGTTCTGATCATGGTGGAAAGATAATATGGTGTGCTACTCAGGTATCTTGAATTCCTCTTTTCTACGCATAACGTCATTGCTAGTCTATACTCGCACCAAAATGGTCAGGGCGACTCGGGCGAGCTGATTACCTGTGAGCTCAGAATGCGAGCAATTGTTTTACCCGCGGTGACGTATACGAAGATGCGTCGTAGCACACCATACTATAAATCCACCATGGCTCTGATAACCATTTCTTGCAAACAACTATACTGGGTGAGTCGGGAGGAACGCATCAAACTCCAGGTGTGTATTGTACAACATGTATAAATGATTTTAAAAAACCCATATGTTCTTATACGATTCTCATTTGTTTTCAATCTAAATTTGAATAGATGTGGGGCATTTCATAAGACCTTAATCGGACAACTCGAAGATAAATGCGTCAAACACACTGCCACGAGCACATGTCAGAACAACAAAACATATCAAACAATCGAGTTTGTACAATCAAAGTCTTATAAATGCCAGAAAAAAATCAAATTCAGAATGAAAACAAATGAGAATTTTATCAGAACATAATTTTTACGTGTAGAATATACACATGGAGTTTGGTGCGTGAGTAACCTCACTTTTACTAATTTCATATGTTAAATTGAAAGCCGATCACTCACTAACAAGTATGCACTGATGATAACTTTATTGCCGAAAGCGCTCTGCTATGATATTTTGAATAAACGATTCTGCACATAATACAAGATTTGTACAATTATTTCTAATCATATTATAACAGAACAATATCAATTCAGAGAAGGTTCTCACAATAATTGAAAACTTTCTGGACAGCCTAGTGACCTTCAGAAATTATGGCAATTTCAAACCGGATGTTGAGATAAATTTAAGGTGAACTTGATTATATGATCATTTTCTTAGATATATTGATCGTTATGTATTGGAGTAGTGGTGTCTAGCTGAAGTAACTTCTTTTTTAGTTGCATGGTTTCCCTTCCAAAATATTTTTGTTTTATTCCAATTTCGAATCAAATCAGTACAGCATTTTCATATACTCGATTTGAGTATATAGTGCATCCAAAGTCAATTGGAGCATATCCCGCACCGCGCGATGTCGGTGGGAACGAAGTTCCTTTTGAAGTTTGTGAACGTTCAGCGCGACGCGTTCCAATTGACTGACTGGATCAAATATAAATAGCGATCCAAATTCCCGATTTGAGCTTGTTGAACATTAAAAAAAATAGCAGTTTCAAACCTGCATGTTGAGAAATATCTGGAGTGTAATTACTTCAGTTGGAACCTTTGGACACAATACATCCCATATTGCCGTATTCATCAAAATATAATTTGTTCACATACACACCATAACTTCGCTCCTACTACTAGCTACTTACTACCTAGTAAAAACAAATTTGATACCAACTATCCTCTATCAGCTATACCCCCATTTGTAATAACACAAATCTGAAATCTCTCAGACACTGTTAATGACAGCATTTAACTATAAAAAAAAAAGATTGAACGTTATAAAGAAACATTGTAACTGTATGAAAAAATATATTATGCTGTTCTTATAGTGGTCTATAATGATGAAACGTCATCAGTCTCAGAAAAGATTTGTCATGAATACAGCAAATATAAATTTCGACAGAAAATATGCACAAGTGCATTTGTCAACATGAAAGTATCATAGTGTTTATTTCTGGCTATGGGGAAATACTATAAATCAATATTTTGATCATTTTCTACGTTTCCTTCATTACTCATGAGTATTTTCTTATAAGGCATTCACCGCGAACAGGTTTTTCCAAAATGTTCATAGGCATGTCGCATGAAAGTAAAATAATATGCTACTAACATACTTTTTTTCGAAACCAAATACTTATCCCAAATATTGTAATATGCACTTGCACTGTATTGTACCTTCATATTCTCTATTATTCACAGAGCACAGACTCCATTGACGAAATAAACTCGGTGCATTCAGTGGAGACTAATAATCTAGGATCAAATAGTGAAATACCATTAGATGACAATGATAAAGTCAACATAGATGAGAATTGGACTGACATTAATCTGAATGAAGATGGAGACACTAAAGAAGATGCTAGAAATCTTCAGAACATGTCACATTCCCATTCTGCCTTGGACATGGAAGGTAACATTCAGTCAGAAAGAGGTGACAAGCACCATTCCGAGATATCAGTCGTCAGAGTTCCAGATGGTGTGCTCCAAGCACCCGCGCAGGTCAGACCTGACGATTTGCCTGTTAATAACTTGGTGGATCATATATCGATACCTACCCCATCGAGAGAAGCTTCTCTAACACAAAAACTAGAAATGGCTTTAGGTTCAGTGTGCCCTCTGTTAAGGGAAATAATGGTGGACTTCGCACCGTTCCTATCAAAAACTCTTGTGGGTTCTCACGGCCAAGAGTTGCTCATGGAGGGCAAAGGACTCACTACATTCAAGAACAGCAATTCGGTTGTCGAATTAGTAATGTTGCTATGCTCTCAAGAGTGGCAAAATTCACTACAGAAACATGCAGGTCTAGCTTTCATCGAACTGATAAATGAAGGGAGACTTCTTTCACATGCAATGAAAGATCATATTGTGAGAGTTGCGAATGAGGCTGAGTTCATCTTGAACCGAATGAGGGCGGACGATGTTCTCAAACACGCCGATTTTGAGGTAGTCAGTGGCTCTTAGTTACAGCCGAAATTCTAATCGCATTTATTATTTCAGTCGCAATGTGCGCAGACTCTATTAGATCGCAAGGAAGAAGAAAGGATGTGTGACCACTTGATCACTTCAGCCAGAAGAAGAGATAATGTAACTGCTAGCAGACTACTTGAAAAAGTAAGAAACATCATGTCAAATAAACATGGCGCCTGGGGATATATGGATGGCAGTGAAACCAGATCGAATGAATTCTGGAAACTGGATGCTTGGGAGGATGATGCTAGAAGGAGAAAGAGATTCGTACACAATCCGCTTGGGACCACGCATCCAGAAGCTAGTCTCAAAGCAGCTATTGAACACGGAGCACCAGAGGATGCCATTCTTCAGGTAGAACTAAACTAATCATTTATTTTTAGAATGGTGAGTCTATGATGTAACTAATTATCTATTTTCAGGCTCGTGAAGAATTTCATGCACATCTAGCAGCAAACAGAGGCCAACAACAAATGCCAAATGACCTGATGGACGACAGTGAGCTCTTGATAGATGATAGAGAATTAGATACGGATCTTAATGGTAAGTGACATTGCTGTGACTTCTTAATTGAGATAAAACATTCAGGATTGGTCTCAATGAGAATAATAGTCTTCTAAAAGTAGAGAAAATGATTTTAATGATGATAATGATATTTTCTCTACCAAAGAAACATCAAAATTAATAGAAACATCAAAATTAATATTTTTTTCAAATTTTCAATTCTGAGTAGTATAATCGTGTCACATATTTTTCATTGTTTTCATTGTCGTGAGCAGGTATTTTTCAAGATTTATTTAAAATCTTGCATCACATAATGTATATTTTCAAACTCATTTGCTAATGATTTGTATAAAACTATTCCATTGTGAAATGTATGAAAATAAATAATATAATTCGATTGTGTTCAGTGCCGTGTTTTTATAAGGAGTCACAGTTTGAAAAAATGGGAAAAAATAATACAGCATAGGAAGGAATCTCTTCACATAATATTCGATTTGGTTTCTAACACTTGAATACATATCTATACTCATCGAAATTTAGCCTATTTTTTATAAGTTTTCAATAATCTGAAGCTGAATAATTGTAATAGCTACAGTCTTCGTGACGTTTCCCTATCGAAAATATTCCGATATCTTGAAAATAAGCATTACCTGGTAATTTCTTTGGTGATTGAATAACTTTAAAGATTAATTCTCCAATACTTCAATATATTCCATGATGTTATATCAATATAATTTTTTGTTATTTGTGTAGATAATTGATGTCAACCTACATTGTTCTAAATTTGTTCTAAAATTGTTCTTATCCGTCATTCGGTTGCCCCCTTACGAGCAACCCTCAGAGGTCTTCAAGAGACTTGTGCGAGCAAGGAATGACGGGGACCTTACCTTTCAACGTGTGATCTCAAACACTATTAGACCAGCAGAAAAATTTCTGTAATCGGGGATTTGAACCCACTATTGGCAAGCGAACGCGAAAGAATACTAACGCTTTATCCACGCGGCTGTATTGATATTAACAACGTTCAAGTCGTTTACGACTATCAATGTATTGATTTTGATTCAGGTCCGGTTAATATAAGTACTAAAGCCAAGCTGATTGCACCTGGGCTAGTGGCACCTGGAATGGTATCTATCACCTCTGCAGAGCTATACTTCGAAGTGGACGAGGACGACGAAGAATTCAAGAAGATTGACAATGAGGTGAGTGAACTGATAACTAATCGAATAAAGATATAAATTGTGTGAACCCTGTCATGTTCAATATTGTACACATCGGGCAAGCAAATTTCATAGGAAAACCATCTAGTGAAGTGAATAAGCATAGTAATTCATGAGTATCTGATGAAAAGGAAAGCGATATCACGTTGCCAAATGTTTTTTTATTGCTCTGTGGTTCATATTGTTTGCCACATTGGAAACGTCGCTTTGTTTATCGTTAACCCATGAATCTCTAAGCATATTCACTCCATTAGTTGGTGCATATCGAACTATTTCTTCTGCCAGGCGTGTATACAGTCTCTGAGTTATTACATAGTTGAAAAGAGGAATTTATTTTGATTATTTCTTCTGTGGAGATAATATCACGTTTTAGACCTGTGGAATGGCTGCAAATTGACATCTTATTCATTTTGGCATAAATAGGTTATGACAAAAAAATGAAACAAGTTTTATAATATTAAGATTATTAGACATGATTATTCTGAGGTACAGAGCAAAATGGCTACCTTAGTCATCAATTTTAGATGAACGTGGGGGCAGATTGACTTTAAGATATATGGAAATGCAGGATTCTAGTTTGACATTGACCTTCAAAATAACATGCTCACTGATTGATCGTGATTTTTGTTATACATTGGTATTATATTCATACTAGATCTATGATACTTGTAACACAAAGGGTGATTCAATACATACATACAGTATGACATATTCAATCTGGGAATCGTGGATTTCGATAGATATTGTGCACTTGTAACTATAAACTTCTTGTCTTTTATACCGGGTATCAACGAACCTAGTGAACAAGCCATAACTTCTAGAATATTCGGTGTATCAAAATGAAAATCAATATGGGTATATGGTATGTGAAGAGGAAAGTTTGGCAACCATTTTTTGACAATCACATTTCGAAAAAAGTATCGAATGAACCCATCTGGGCCAGATTTTTCTGGCTCTTCAGCCGCTTCAAACTTACTTCCACCTAACTTTCCCTGATGGTCAAATCAATCATGTTTAACTTCTTATAATTTATTGTCTTTATGAAATATTGTACTCTGATGATGGCCGTTGAGCCGAATCCGGATTCCGGTTACTTTTCAATCGACTAATTTTTACATAAAGTGTGGTCGACTGAGTATTCGTTTTCATTGAAAATACATTGGACCACTTTGAGTATGATTGATGATGATTTCTACGATCAACCCATACTAATTCATTCGCGATTGGATCGAGAATAAAAACATGAATTCTATATTACTATGAAAACTACTGAATATTCATTAATTCACACGTCGCCCAAGTTGTGAGGAAATCTGTATTGCTTCATTGGCATGGCCAGCTAAGATCCCGGATTTGAATCCCATTGAAATTCTATGGAATATTCTTGGCGCGAGATTACAAGAGGAACGTAACCTGAATACTTTGGAAAAGGCACGGCAGAGACTGCTGATTCAAATTTGGGAAGACCTGGCCCAACATGACATTAGGTCTCCTATTTTGGATATAGGCGTCTCTATCAAGAAGTGTTTCGTGCCCGCGGTGGAAATACTCGCTACTAACCCCTTCGTTCAACTTGTGACTCCGCATTTTGTTTCGTTTTTTCGTTTTTTAAATTAGATATTAATTTTCCATAAAATCATGTTATGCTATGAATTGGTGTTTCTCGAGTAAAAGGAGTAATAGGAGAAAGGAGTGAATCCAAGAAAGGAATATTGAAAATAGATAAGGCTACAGTGTGATTTCAATTGGGAATCGATAGTGTAACTATTACACTCTACAGAAATTTATTTATTAAATTAGTATTATAAATTTCTTCTAGTTCGAGTCGACGAAAACAAGAAAAACAGAAAAAAGTGTGGTTGTCAAAACAACTAAAGGACAACAATTTTTAGAATTTTTCTATAAAATCTTGAATTTTTGATATAATGTATCCGTTTTCTTTAATAATAGAACGTTTTTACTATTGAAAAGTAAAATATCGCGTAATCCCTCTCGTGAGGGTGGTGCTTATTGTCGAAATAACATCCAGTATGTATAAAAAGAGGTTTTAATGCGAATTTGCACACCAATGGTCAGATGTTAATAACCTGTCATTCAAAACAAAAATCATCCAAATCGGAAAAGTACTTTTGACGAAAATGTTTCCTAAACATTAGAATACTTTTCCGTGCTGCAATAATTTCTTGGAGAAGTGTATATTGGTCGTTCATAAAATGTTGTTGTATTTTGGGTGTAACTTGCTTTTATGAACCAATACGTGTTAATAGCCCTCGCTATCCCTCGGACTCTTACTTACACGCTGCGGTCCATAAAAGATTACTTTACGCCCTTGATACATAAATAACTATTATCATCGAATCAACGAATTCATCATCGAGTTTGAGTACTGCAGCAAAAACTATGATACATTGTAATTAAGGTGTCGCATTTTGTGCCGCAGGATAGCATGCAAAAATTGCATTTGAATATTCAATTGAACGCACCTGTCTGGGAGAATTTAATAGCGAATAACTCATTCCGTTATGTTGAAAGGTAAATCAATGGTTTGGTGAATATCGTAGACATAAGAGCGACAAAAGCCTTCATATCCATGTTCCCTAATGATATCTGAATCCCATTTATTTAACAGTCATTTTGTAGCTTCCCAAGCAAAACTGAATGCATATACATTGAAATAGAATGAGAGATGTAGAAAACAGGTTATGGACTCATGAAGTAATCAAGCTTTTTTATGTTGCATCTCTTTTGATTCCATTTTTACAGGGCATGTTCAAAAATTGAGTTGGAAAAACAATATTTACCTGAGGAACTGATTGGCAAATTCCCTGAAAGGAAGTGACCAACAATAGACAATACGAATAAGAAATGCATTATCATATACTTCAACTATTGCATTATTGGCATTCGAGCAGCTATATTTGAGTAATGTTTGGGCTGCGGCTAATACGAACTTTAGCTGACTAGTAGCATATTGTTCATACATACCCAAAAAGTGGAAGGTATAGGAAGAAAAAAAGGGGGGAATATGATAATTATGATGTGTTGCATTATATGCTGTGGAATATATTGTAGTTGAACGGATATGTTTGCAGTTGGTCAATAAGAATCATTGACTAGACATTGCAGTTGCAAGTTGACATATTTCGTTACCTCAGTCCTCTCCGATTTCCAGTGGGCGAACAATTACAAATTACAGTATGGCTGATGTCTGTTAATATTCAAATAAATATCTTATTTTTCCTTTAGACTCTGAAAGAGTATAGAAATAGTCATCAGGTTGATACAGAAATATAAATCTATAAACTAGATAAATGATTACATCTCTAAATGCCCATCATACTTCTTGCAGCCTCTTTTTGAGCCAGAAAAATATCCTTCGCTGATGTAGATGACCCCCAGAAACATATACCATATCGGATACGCGAATCAACTTGAGCAAAGTAGAAACTGCACAACTGATTTGAAATCAAGGTACTTCTCAGAGCCCTGAGTAGAAAATTTATAACATTTGTTTTATCAACATTGCCAACCATATATCCATATATTTGGAAAAACAATGAATATGAATTTTGAATGAAAACATAGTAGGTATATCACACAGGCTTTGTAGGCTATTTTTATATATCATTGCACTTATTCTCTTGATATCTTGATAACAAAAACGTGTGGAATATTAATATAGTGTCTCATGAAGAGCAAGAAAATCGGGTTGATCTGACAGATTTATCAGTTTTCGGTACAAACGTTATGCCAGATAGACTGAAGGGAGAATAAATAGGACACTTGGTATTTAAATATAAATTCATTACAACATTTTGGTTGCTCTCGGTGGGCCGGCAATCTGATTAAACATGCATTGGATGAAAAGTGATTACTGACATCGTGTGTAATTAGCGAATTGGTTTGAATTTCACTCGGTTGTTAAGTATCTTTGTTTTTTAAAGAAACCATTTATCAGCGACCCGGGTTTATTGAAATTAGCTACGTGTGTTGCATATTCATTTGCGAAAACGATAAATCATTATGAAATGGGCGTGACTGGCTGACAGCCTTATGTAAACATGGTTAAAATGTTACGAAGTGGAAGTTTAATAATTGATCTTTGAATTTTTCACTTGGCTCTTTGGGTTTTTGTATGAGAACTATTTTTTTTGTCGTCGGGGCTACTGAACTCAATAAAGTAGAAAATAAGAAAACAGCAACGTTTCGCTATTTCTTCACTGCCTTGATTCTCCATTTTTTTCCCATGACAATAAAACTTACATAATAATTAATTAATTAAACATGTATTCATCATAGAAAAATCATTTCTTATATATTTACCCCGATAAATATATTTTTTGCCATTGTGGAATGACCTCAAAGACAAATACCATACCATACGTCTGTCTGGAATCTACCTGATCATGATATGAACTCGATAACTGATTGTTTTTTCACAACACGTAGATTCATAAAACGATATGTTAGGGAATACAATTTCGAGATTAACTGAGAGCATTGAGATTTTCAGTCTACACTCATCGAAGTTCATGCCTGGCTATTTTATGGGTCATTGGTATTCCTTGAACTCTGATTATTGTAAGGAAATAGAAGTGGTTCAAAAGCATTCTGGCGATAATGAAATCGTAGAATTTGTGTACGTATTTATCATTGAAATAGTTTACTGTATCGATACACTTTTCGATAACGGATACCGAATCAGGTGCAAATACAATCAATGAACCATTGCATAAGCAGTTAACTTTCTTGTGCAAAGAACAAAGTCAATTTCATTGACGTATAATATAAATATAATTGGTCCTAAAATGGACCCTTAAGGTACTCCCATATCAGTATAGAAATACATTTCTGAGTCAATTTTTGACATTCCATCATCATTAGAATGTTGTAACGAGACTAATTGTTCACGATTTTCCAGAAGAGAGGAAATCCAATGTGAGGACCGCTCCGTTATACCATAGTTTTCAAAAGACGATAGT